CGAGAACGAAAAAAAAAAAATAAAAAAACCCCCCCCCCCCCCCCCAAGTAAATGTTGGTTTTACAAAGATTATATAGAAGACAAGTTTTTAACATAGTTTCTACACAGGCTTGGCACAGTTTTCTTTGATGTTATGTTATTCTATTAAAAAAAAAAAAAAATAAATTATTTCAATCCAATCTAAAGGGTTTGTTTTATCAATTCCATTCAAGGTAAGGACATCACCAGATCTTGTCGTACCTATTTTTAATTTAATACTTTTTGGTTCATTCTACCCATACCTGAAGAGATTGTGGTTTTTATAACCTTACTGCTTTGTGTCAGCGATAATCCTCTGGTTCCCATACTACGTGGTGTTATCGTGCAAATAATCATGTCTGTATCACTTACACCCCTTGTAGTTTATTCTAAATTTGGAAAAATTCGCGCTTGTTAGTTTAAATCGAGGGTGAAATTTTTGACCAGATTAAATAGAGGTCCCTGTTGGACCTTCTATGTTTTTTTTTTTTGATACACACATACTTTTTTTTTTTTTCCCCCCTTTAAATTTCTAAATCTTCTTTTTATTCTTTCTGAATGGACTCCATTTGCTATTACGCTTGGGCTTGATCGGTTGAGACATTGCATTTGTTCTGGAAATGCTAGTGTCATTTACATGATTGGATAAGGTTTCTTCTTCAGTAGCATTAGCGGCAAACAGATTGAGATAGTCATATGAATCATCTTCCTCACTAGAAGAACTATTACTATTTTCAATAGCTTTATTTGTATTAGTTGTAATTGTAGCATCCTCAGCTGTATAATCTGATTCATCGTAGGCTTCCTGGGACATTTTATGTTCGTCATTATAAGGAAACTCCTTTTTGTCATTAGCGTACGACTCTTCTGTAGTGGGAGCAGTAGATACTGTTGAATAAGTTGATGTCACGTCCAATTGTGAAAACGACATACATGAAGATGCTCCTTCAGTAGGTGATGAATCAATTAAAGAATATGTACTTGACGAGGTTGTTCTTCTACTTCGAATAGAGCCCGGGAATGTTTGTAATTGCACAGTTGAATGTCTCTTATTTTCATTGGTCTTGCATATAGTATCCGCAAGTACAGATTGTTCCTTTACTGGGGGTGTTGGTAATGGCGGAAGTGATGGTAGCGGTGGTAGAGATGGCATAAGCGTTCCTGCTTCTCCTTCTACTTGTGTTTGTGTCTGAGTTTGTGTTTGTGTCTGTGCCTGTGTTTGTGGTGTGCCAAGTATTTGTTTTTCCTCACCATAGTATATGAGAGCACTGAATAGTTTAGATATGAAATTGTTAAAAATCAACTGTTCCTCGCTATGAATAGCCCTAGTGTTTTCAGTCTCCACATCCACATCCACATCCACATCCACATCTTTTCTCAAAAAGTCAAGAATTGCAAATATCAAACATTCCCCCAATACGCTATAATCCAAATATGTTAAATCGTAAATTCGAGTATTCCTCATCAGTAGATCCATTATAAATTTCTGGTTAATGGTTTTACCATGAGAGAGATCAAAAATGATATTATTGATAAGATTCACCGTTGGACCTATTTGATAATCATTAATAATTTCCTTGAGAGTAGCTTCCGATATCATAAAGTTAAAGGAGTCAAGCAAATTCAACGCTTGTATTGCATTGGTTCTACTAGCTTCTGCCATTTCGCAGCTAGAAGAGTTACCTGTTAGCACGATATAGTTGAATACATAGGTGGCCAAGCTTGATTCAAAGTCTCGTCTAACTTTTTCATCATATTCGAAACTCAAATAGTACTTTTTACACTTGGGCGACACCGAATCAAAATTGATGCACAATTCTAAAGAAGTCCAAATTTTTTTCAATATCGAAATCTCATAAGCGGAGAAGGCCAATGTTGGTTCAAAATGTGATTTTGAGTTTGAAGATAAAGGGAATACGGGTGGTGGTGCTGATATATGACACATAGGCGACGCTGATGTTAAAGCGATATCAGGATCAGTTATTGTTGCTGATGATGATGACGACGACGAGGCTGTTATTGCCGTTCTTTGTGTTGTTGATGTGGCTATTGACGATTGATAGGTGTATGGTGTAACATACGGGAACATATGGTCACGACTGTACGTTGAGTACATTAACTATTTGAGGTAGAAATAGACGATTCTCCTTGTGTATTAATAGTAAATCTGGAATATTGAAAATAGTTCAAACAAGAGATCAATTACTCTATTGGGAAAAAAAAAAGAAAAATTAGTAGAATATGAAGAAGATCCTAGTAAACAGTGTTATTGTCACACTGGCAAAGTTGTTTCTCCTTTTGACCCCAATGGTCAATGTCCAATACGGGTCTTTCTCTCTTTTTTTTTGTTTTTTTTCAAAAGGGCAAGTTCCAGTAATGGAAATAGTCAATTAACTTTTTTTTATTTTTCACTCGTTAACTGATCAAATTAAGATTGATCTCAATCTTTTACTTTTTCTTCCCTGTCAAATATCTCGATGAAAAAATTTTGTCTTGGTGTGGTCGAGGCTTATCTGGGTGGGTAAGAAGCTGACTATGTGATTTCTGTTTCCTTGTCGTCATAACCGACAAAGGGAAGGGGAATCTGCTTTTGTTTTATATACGTGACACTACGCCAAAGGGTAGCCTTATTGTATGCGCTTCTTCTTCCTCCACCACGACCCAACCATTTCTTTTCTTTTTTCCTTTTCCGTAATGCATTTTATAATTATGTTACAAAACCCAAAAGCGGTAATCTAATTTACACAACGCTTATTTATGCGCAGGGTCCAATATACTAATACGTAAATAGGGTACAGGCACAGTAGCCGCAGGCACAGTAGCCACGGCAACGGCAGCAGTGCACTGCAGAAGTACAAATAAGTTGGTTGTTGGGCAAAATCCTTCTGTTTCTAGACTGAAAGCTAAGGTTTTCGATAGGGGGAAAGGGAGGATGAAAGGAAGAAAGGAAGAAACATGGGTAAAAGGAATACTCTTGGTCACTGGTATTTAGAAACTAAGTTTCCAATTGTTTTATTTATTTTTTTTGATAATCCTACAAATAATAGCATTGTGTCAGGCACATTCTTCCAATTACCAATATTAATGTTACATTACTTTGAATTGTAGAAAACCTTTTCCAGATAAGGTTGAGTTAAGATCATCGGCTTAGTGAGATATGAGTATTGAAAAATTTCTATGTAAATGGTTCCAATTCAGTTTACAGGGGTTATATGAAATTGCTCAACCTGGTATTGTAGAAGAGGGATGCTGTTGGGTTTTAAAAAAGACAACAGTAGCAATAAAAGGAAAGAAAAGAAGGGAAGTGAGGAAGGGAAGGGGAGAAGAAAAGTGAGGAAGGGAAGGGGAGAAGAAAAGTGAGGAAGGGAAAGGGAGAAGAAAAGTGAGGAAGGGAAGGGGAGAAGGAAAGTGAGGAAGGGAAGGAGAGAAGGAATTAAATCTTTCTTGCCGACATTGTTGAAAAACCTGTCATTTGAAAATTAAACATTAATCACAGTTACAGAAATTTATGTGTTTGATGGTTTGAAGACCATCAAAGATAAGTAAAGACTGAAAAGTAAACTTTACCTCCTGCATATTTCTTTTTACATTCTAACTACGATACAATATATGTTGCTACAAGTTGTCAGTTTGATTAGTGGTGTAATAAACATATTCCACTTGCTTGCAAAAATTTTATCGTCATTTTTATTTTATTTTTTTTCCCAAATTACAACATCTTCATTGAGTGTGATGTAAAAGGGGATCTTTTCATTATTGAATACAAAATGTAACCGGTATTCAACCTTTTCTTATCAGTTTTTACATCTAGTTAAGATTCAATAAAGACCCTAGATGAAGCTTTTTGGATTTGTAACTCAATTATAAAATCTCTAAAAGAACAATTGTAGAGAGTAAGGTTTTCAAGAAATTATTGCAAAAGAAATTAGATAGCAGGGTAAAACCAGCCTCTTGGGAAGAGATCCTTCATTTTAATCTGCTGCATGTATTTCTTTTGAGAAAAATTACTTGACTCTTTGAATCATTAGAAAATACACATGCAAGTCTCAGTTGAATGTAAGCTGTGGTGTAAATTGCAAAAAGACGCACCAGAAATAAAAGCAAATCAAAAACAATAGCAAATTAGCTATTTGATCAAATAACAACACTGAGGCGCTGCGTTACTGAGATACCGAGGCAACCTAAATAAGACATCGAGCTTTGAGGTTTTTCCCCTTTTCATACCCCATTATCATCTATTGTCAGAAAATAAAAACTTCAAGATAAGAAGAAGTAAAGACAAAGAGTGAGAAAGTAGCTATTAAGCTTTCCACATTGATGGGAAATTCCCTTTCTATAGTATTCCACTCGTTATCAAAATAAACTTTCAACTTTGAAAAAAGAAGAAGAGGTATACGTGTCTCAAGCGGAGATGTGAAAAATCTAGAGTCAAGATATTTCATTTTTTTTTTTTTTTTTTTTTTATTGGGTTCCTTTTTTCCTCCTTTTCTGTCCTGATCAAAAGAGGTAATTTCTACGGAGAAGAAGAGTGAAACACATAGATAGATACAATACCAGTCATATTGATCGGACATTTATGACAAGTAATAAGAAAGGAATGAAGATATGAAGTTGAAGGTTGCAATAATCCAAATAAATTCACTCTTGGGCCAACCACAACAAAATATAAAAAAAGTGCAATCGCTCTTATCCAATATCAGCAACAATAATAGTAGGTTTGCAGACTTGGTTGTGTTTTCGGAACTAGCGCTCACTGGATATAACTTTTCCTCTTCATTGCACATCAAGCCGCATTTAGAGTCAATTACCAATTATGGAGTATCGTTGAATTTTGCCAAAAATCTAAGTATTGTTCATCAGTGTTTCACGGTTATTGGATACCCCGAAATTTTTAATGGCAAAATATACAATTCAGCTGCTCTTTTCAATCGAAATGGAGAGCTAATACACAATTATAGGAAAACTTTTTTATATGAAACAGATGAAGTTTGGGGATGCAATGAAAACCCGGTCAAGGGATTCCCCGCTATAGATGTGGATTTTTCCCGCTCAAATGACAAAACCCCGATGTTGGTTACTACAAATTTCGGGATATGCATGGACCTTAATCCTTATAAGTTCGAAGCGGATTTTAATGAATTTGAGTTCAGTTGCTCATGTTATTCGAGCCGGTCAAGATTGATCATATGTCCCATGGCTTGGCTTTCACCTAAATCGCCTTCTACCAACACTGAACTAACCGAGGAGGAGAAGATTGCAGAATGTAAACAGATTGAATTGCCGTCCAATGAACCGTGTCAGCTGACTATCAATTATTGGATATTGAGATTTTTCCCCTTTTTAACTCACAAGAATAGTTTTATGCCTAAATGGTGGAATAAACTGGATAAAGTAACTGTTATATGTTGTAACAGAGTAGGCAAAGAAAAAGATATAGTATATGGCGGAAGTTCATGTATCTTACAGTTTTTAAATAATGGTATAGAGAGAAGTGATTTGCAAGTTGAGTATGAGGGAATAAGTCAACAAAATCCTAGTGTTTTATTGTTGGATACTCTTTCACAAAGTGAAGAAGGTATAATTTTAAGAGAAATAGAATTATAGTGAGAATTGCACGGAATTGCAAAACTGCAAACTGTTTTTTTACAGGGATAGACTTTTGGGGAACAGGAACAAATGTGGAGAACAATCATAATTGTAAATACTGATGAGCAACTAAAAAAGTGTCAATCTTGGTAGCCTATAAGGAAGTTGAGTTACAGATGATAGGGATACTATAACGTAGATATTACACAAAGTTATTAGAATACTGTTACATTTTCAACACTAGGGAGCGAAGCGAGCTAGTGAAGCAGTATGTAGAGAGTAGCAACACTAGGGAGCGAAGCGAGCTAGTGAAGCAGTATGTAGAGAGTAGCAACACTAGGGAGCGAAGCGAGCTAGTGAAGCAGTATGTAGAGAGTAGCAACACTAGGGAGCGAAGCGAGCTAGTGAAGCAGTATGTAAAGAGTAGCAACACTATGGAGCGAAGCGAGCTAGTGAAGCAGTATGTAAAGAGTAGCAATACTAGGGAGCAGTATGTAGAGAGTAGCAACACTAGGGAGCAGTATGTAGAGATGGTTTTTTTTTTTTTTTTTTTGATAAGAAAAAATTTAGCACTGGGGCTTTATCGATAACATGGATCTTGCTTAACTTTCGTATAATATAACAAAGCAAAATACCAAGCCAAGTCGTTTCTCCATTTTGGAAATAAACAATAATGTGAGATGGAGATACAAGAAAAACAAAAGATGAGATATATACCATAGTGAAACAAAAGCATGAAATATATACCATAGTGAAACAAAAGCATGAGAAATATACCATAGTGAAACAAAAACCTAATTTGGATCTCCCAAACTGTGAAAGATTTACATACAAGAAAATTTTCTTAGCTGAAAAATACACACCACAAACTTTGTAGATTGTATCTGTAGGTTTTAAACAAGGCACTAGATATTGGACAAGAAACTATATTCTAATTCTACAAGGCACCAGTAACTCTAAGAATTGTTCTCTTGCAAGTTTGCCAAAAAAAAAGAACAACAACCTTGCAAGGGAAACCATATTTGTATTGAATTGCTACCAATTTTATGGGATCCGAGTCGTGTGTCGATTTCAATTTTTCTTGGCCTAAGAAAAGTGATTAATATTATTATTCATCCAAATACTATTTATCAATATTAATTAAATACGATACAAAGATATTAAAATTCTGATTTCTACCGGCTAATCGATTTAACATTAAGACTCCTCTTAATTTAGCTACTCATTCCACTTTCTTTTCTTTTTCCCAGTAAAGAGAACAAACTCTGTTGTGAAAGTATACTGGATAAATTCCCATCTTTGTACAAACTCATACAAACCAAAATTTTACTCTAGGAGCCTGTAAGATCTGCGTAGTATTTGTCACGCGACCAAATACTTCAAATTCTTTATAAGGAAAGAAGAAAAAAAATAATTATACATAAAATGCAAAAAGGCTAAAAAATTAGTAAAAAAAATTACTAAATAAAGACGCAACCTCTTTCCCGATTCAATCTGATATTGACGAGAGATCTGTGTTATCGAGGATATGTTTCTATTGACAAGCATATGTCCCTGTTATTAAGGATACGCCTCTCGTAGATCCAAAACATATATACACACAGAAAGAGAGAGACTAAAATCTAATTGGTATAAGCTGAAAAAAAGAGACGGAGAGAAAAGATGGACTTTTCTTTTATCGAACTTTCCTCATGCAAGAGAAACTTACTATATCTAGATTTCCACAAAGACTAAAATTATAATAACCAGCCGTATTAATTTCCTCCCCACACAAAAACATACTGGCTATTTACATAATTATCTTTCTGCCCGTCTCTATCAAGAAATGAGCTCTTTATACTCATAATAAATTCTTTGTTACTCATTATCATAATATAAAATAACCTTCAAAAACGACTCCTTTTTTTTCCCACAATAACAAAGAGCTTTATTTTCAACTGAGAAGCTCATAGTTAAAGCTTCCTTACTACAATTGGGCTACTTATTGATACCCTATTTTCTGCTTTTTTGGTACTCCTTGGTTTTTTTTGTACTCCTTGGTGCTTTTTGGTGTTCCTTGGTGCTTTTTGGTACTCCTTGGTGTTCCTTGGTGCTTTTTCATTTTTAGGTGGTTTTTTCCTTTTTCGTTATTTCAGCTTTATTCCCTTCAAGGAGGTTAGTGCCTTTTAACCTTGACCTTTGTCCTTTGCACATAGTTCTTTACCCTTTGCACATAGTTCTTTACCCTTTGCACATAGTCCTTTACCCTTTGCACATAGCCCTTTGCTTTTCCCTCTTCAAAGATGATAAAGCTATATCCAAGACGAATATTTATCAAGTTAGTCTTATTCCTTACAGTGTTTTATGCCATTTTTATATCAATAAAATTAATACTATCTCAACCAAATCTCCGACAGTATTCATATTTAATAGACCAAAAAATAAACCTCAAATACAATGAAATATATTTCAATTTACTAGCCTCAAAACATGACTTTGACTCAAATACCTTTTTCCAAAAGCAGGTTGAAAAAATTACTGAAACATCAATTACCAACGATAAACTTAGTATGCTATGGAATCTAGAGAAATCAGGTTTTAAACAAGAGGATACACTGATTTTCGAAATTGAAACACCTTCCTATTTTTTTGAAAATATCGAATCCCCTATGGTACAACCATTTGACTCACGATTTACCATTGGAATATATTACCAATACTTGCAAAATGTAAATTCATCAGTTCCTTTCCATTGGTCTGACTGGGTCGACTTATCAAAGATTTATAAATTTCTAATCAATATCGAAGATACAAGAGAAAATGTATGCTCTACCATCTTTGATATCTCATCACAAACTGAGCTTATCAAAGGTTCACAAATTAAACAAGTGGAGGAATATTGCCGATACGAGCCTGATTCTTTACTTGGATACAAGATTATCAAAGAAACAGGTCCACAAACTGTGCAAAATCGTGAACTTTTAGGTAAATCGTACTTGTTTTCCACAGCTCCATCACCAAGGAAATTGATATTTTTAACAAATAATGGCTCGTTTCAAGCAAATGTTGAAACTCCTTTAAATCAATTGGAAAACTCGATATTGTACAACGACATGATCAACAACTTACAAAATCCAACAAAGGTTAATGTATTGCATAATTATAATTCGTTGATTTCTTCAGCACAATTGCAACAGCAGCATATCACGCAACAAGAGTTGACTTATCAAGTGTTGGGAATTCCAAAAGCTGATTTCAATATTGATCCGGAAACTGTAATTAACCAACTATCTTCTAGCAAACTACCGCTTTCTGATATGGAACAGCAATTTCTTAGCTCACTCAAATTCAGCCACGGTAATACCGATCCCCCAAAATATTTTTACGAAGCTAAACTTTTGAATTCTATTCCTGATGATTGGCAAGGAGAGCATTATGATTGGAGATTTTTCAACGGTTTGACTGTTGGCAAGGATAAACAGGCCATTGTGTTACATCGACTAGTCAAGAACTATCTCAATTTCGCGCGCAATCATGGAATAATCACGTGGATAGCACACGGCTCGTTGCTTAGTTGGTATTGGAATGGAATGGCGTTTCCTTGGGATACTGATATTGATGTACAAATGCCCATAGCTGAATTGTACAAGCTCGGCCAACATTTTAATCAAACATTAGTTATTGAAAATGCTGCTGATGCAAATGGTGAGTTTGATGGTATGGGAAGATACTTTGTGGATGTTGGATCTTCAATTACCAGTCGAATCAAGGGAAATGGTAATAATGCAATTGACGCGAGATTTATAGATGTTGATACTGGACTATATATTGACATCACTGCTCTTGCAATGACTGATGCAAAATCGCCATCGAGATACGATTCAATGGTTTCACAGCTAGGCAAGGATGCCCAAATGAGAGTAAAAAATGCTAGAGGCGGTGAAGCAGGAAAAGATGCAAACTATGAAATAATCAATAGTGAATTGCAGCTTTATAATTGTCGAAATAATCATTTCACATCGTATGCTGAAATAAGCCCACTTGTGCGAACAACGGTTGAAAATCAAATAAGTTACATTCCTTATAACTTCATCACCATATTGAATGATGAGTACAATCTACTGTCTTTATCCAAGAAAAATCATCGAGCATTTACTTTTTTAAATAACTTGCGATTATGGTTTGACACCAAAATCATCAAAAGCCATCTTGATAGAAAAAACAGTGATATATCAAGTGAAGAACTCACATATGGGGAATTACACGCTATAAACAAACTATCGGTAAAGGACCACTTGAATTTATTAGCATCAAATCCTGCTCTCCTTAAGGAATGGCTTCAGACTCATAAATTCACCAAATTACATTCTCAAGAGTTGAAATTGATTCGTAATCAAGATTTCAAAAGTGTTCAAAATCTACAAAAGGATAAGGAGATTGGAAAACCATTAAGAAGTGATTTGTTTATGGATTTAGTACATCATGATGAGGATTTGAAATCATTGAGTTTTGAAGAACGAGCAAAGAAGTTTTCTAATTGGTAGATAAATACTCTACTCCACTATTGGACAACACTATCGAGCAACACTGTCGAGCTACCTCACTATAGAGCAGCGCGAAATAGTGTGGTAACAAGTTACAGAGTGTCGGTGGCAGCTAGTCAGTGTTGCTCTACTGTCTCGCTCTGCTCGATAGTGGGGTAGCTCGATAGTGTCGGTCGATAGTGTCATGAATGATGATTACAGGCATGCGCAGACAAACAATAGAATTTTCTTTTCATCAAGAATGCTCTAATCTAATTGTTTCCTAATTCAACTTTCAACTGCATTGTTACAATGCAGTCGAAACACACTTTACGAGGGGAAAAGGGGAAAGAAGAATAATATTTTACATTTAGTTTTTCACAAAATGGGGTTGGATTCTCAGCGTTGCCACGCACCATGCTAGATTACATTCCGGGTGCACCATGCTAGATACATTCCAGGTGCATGTCTGTGCTTTCTAAAAAGTGAGTAGGCTTTTGACATATTACGGAATTAATCTCGCTCTGCTCGATAGTGTCGCGCCTCTATATAATGATCTGGTGGTACTAGTCAGTGCTGCTAAACAATGTTGCTCCACTATCTCGCTCTGCTCGATAGTGTCGCTCTACTCGATAGTGTCGCTCTGCTCGATAGTGTCGCTCTGCTCGATAGTGTCGCTCTGCTCGATAGTGTCGAATATTGTCTATATCTTTCTTTCATGTAAGTTTTTTGCAATCTTTTTTTTTATTTTTTTTTTCTTAAATTGCTTTGGATAAAACAATAGAGATCAGATAGTGATGTTTGAGCCGCTTTATTGAATCTATCAGCTAAAAAAGCAACTATCAAGCTGAAAAGGAAAACCGTGCATATGCAGCGACACTATCGAGCAGAGCGAGATAGTGGAGCAACATTGTTTAGCAGCACTGTCGAGCAGCACTATCTTGTAGACAGATACAAGTAGGACTATGTATTAAAATAAAAAGACAAGTGTTGATGCAAATTTTGATACAAGTTGTGACAGTCCTGAGACAAGTCTTGATAGTGCTGTGACAGTTTTGAGACAAGTCTTGATAGTGCTGCCAGTCCTGAGACAAGTCTTGATAGTGGTGCCAGTCCCGAGACAAGTACTCTTTTATAGTTTGATTATCTTGTTTAGCCTATTTTCTTATCTCCCATAGTGAATAATGTGTAATGACATAATTGAAAATAGAAATTACGCAAACTAAAATTTTTCTTACTATTTTGATTGTCCGGAATATCCATTTGAATTGGGTTATTGTTTCCAGGATTAAAAATAGCCTAGCCAAAAAAATATAGCCTAGCCCAAAAAAAATAATGTGTAATAGAGCTAATGTGTAATAGAGCTAATTTAGTTTAGATGAATTGGAATTTCATCCTTAGGGGACATTTCATTGAGGCTTGGGTACGAGACCTTTAAGTGAGACTTTAGATCCAACACTTTTCTAGAGTGCACAAATTCAACATATACTATATTCACTCGTACATAGACAATTCCACTACATAGACAATTCTACTACATAGACAGTTCTATATTCCCTCGTACATAGACAGTTCTACTATAGACAGTTCTACTATAGACAGTTCTACTATAGACAGTTCTACTATAGACAGTTCTACTATAGACAGTTCTACTATAGACAGTTCTACTATAGACAGTTCTACTCTATATATTTGCTATTACGGATAATTGCATGAGCCATATCTTTTTTTTCTTTTTCAAAACAACTTTAAAACTAGGTTATGAGAGAATAAGTTTGCAGAAAATTATCTAGGCCCTTAAATGTATTGCTCTGTTAAGCAAAAAACTAATAGATTGATATTTCCCTGTGCGACACTGTCAAGCGGAGCGACTAGCTCTCAGCAACTAAATATATTGCTCTACAAAATCACATTGCTCTCACTAAATCACATTGCTGTTAATAGATCCATATTATTTCTTTCCAAACTCGAAACAGCAAAGTTTCAAAGTATTTTGTAAAGGGATAAAAGTCTTATTGGCTTATTGGCTTTATTGGCTTATGCAGTTTTGTCTTGTCCATGTACAGTATGCAAAGCTCAAGAAATTACGTAGATTGATTTTCCTCCATACAAAGAGAGAGAGGTTGAACTGCGGCTTTTTTTTTCTTTTTTCTCTCTCTCTCCCATACTATCTGGGCTATATATAAATATACAAGTAAACCCACAAGAGCCGTTTCTTGGATTCTGTTATTGCCATTTTCTTTTCTTTTTACAAGCAAGGGAAGTAAGGGCACTTTATCTTTAGCTTTTAGCTCTTTATATTATGGCTTTCAGTATACTCTCTCCCAAGAAATTAAGGAGGGAGAAGAATAAGCCTGTGCTGGCTTCTTCTTCTTCTTCTGGAATAGAGTCTTCCTTATCTCAGGGTGCTACCAAAAGCAATCAAATTTTTACAACCGATTGCAATTTTGCTGCTAATAACTCTACGACTTTGCAACCAAATTATAATCTGCAGAATACAATAAGATATGATGATGATGATGATGATGCTGGGCTTGTAACTCCTCCAGAATTTGCAACCGTACCAAGAGGCAGCGAAGGCGGCGGTGGTAACAACATCGGCTATGTTTCTGGTGCCGCCGCAGCAGACGCCGGCGCCGCAGTTGGCGGTAACAACATCGGCTATGTTTCTGGTGCCGCCGCAGCGGGCGCCGGCGCCGGCGCCGCAGCTGGCGGTATTACTCCGTCTCAATCGCAACCTATAAGGGCAAGGTCGCCCTTGTCTCAACCACCAACTACTGCATTTGATGAACAAATCCTCGATCCATTACCAAAAAATCACCAACTCCAACTCCAACTGCAAAAACCAAACTCAAATTATACAACCGACAATAAAAATGTCCCAGCTTATACTTTGTTGGCTCATAGTGATAATAGCAGTAGCAGTACCGATTCTGCAAACAAAAACTCGTCATCTTTGTTACCAAAACTCAACTCATTTGTATCCCTGGATGCTGCTTCAGAGGTCTCCTCGGTTTGCGATCAGTTTTCGTTGCAATCTCCAACTTATAACAATAGCCCAAGACAGCGCCATTTGCAAAAATTGTCTGATACATTCAATGATCTGCCAAGAAGAACTTTATCGGAAAGAGCAAAAATCACCCCTTCAGCTTTTGTGCGCCAAAGTATCTATTTCTCCAATGATGCCAATAATGGTTTAGACTTTGAAACTGCTTCTATAAACTCCATGTCTGGGAGATCATTACTTTTACAGAATAAGATGGAGGTTGAAAATTTGTCACCAGAGTTTCGGCCAATTGTTACTTTATTGAATGCGCAGAGATTAAGGTCATATTGTCATGGATCGTTCCAAGTGCCCGGTTTCATTGGGAATGAAAGAATATGGTTCGAAGTTGATGCTAAATTGAGCGGTAATGAATTGGCCATTTGGAGACCATCAAACGATGATTACATCATTGATGATATTGACGAGTTTAAGCCAAAATATATCAATTTGATTGATGCAAGAATTGAAAATCTTGGAGGTTTGGAGATTCGCATTTTTCAAGATTATAGAGAGGATAAAAATGTCTTGATTAAATTCCACAATTCAACCGATCTCAATAAGTGGATAAGTGCAATTATCTTGGCTAAATTTGAATATGTAAAACTTAATGAAGCATTTACAGCTGTATTATTATCATTGAGAGGTTCCAAGTTGCTGGATATTCATGTTTTGCTAAGCCATAAAAAGAGATTTCCTCAATATGAGTGGTGCAATATTCGATTGCCCGAAGTTTCTTCCAAATGGATTAAAGTTTTTATGGTTATTTTACCAAGCGATAAACATCATTTAGGAAGAATTGAATTTTACCCATCAGATAAAAAGGTTCATAAAAAATATTTAGTTGCATATATTTCGGATTTGGCATACTTGTTTAATGTCTACCCTGAACAAGCCCATTTGATTGATTTCAATTCAATCATGAATGCATGTGGGAAAGTATACGTGGGGAAGAAATTTGAACATTTATTCCCTTATGAAGACCCAAGGAAACTTATTGCTAAAAACCATTCAATGTCACGTTCGGGGTCAAACAATTCTCTTTCCTCGCTAACTGAAAAAGTACCAGCTGGTGGTGCTACCCCCACCAATACCAACAACACTGCTACACGCTCAAGGTCAAGCTCAGTGAATTCTACAAATTCGTTTTTTAGCCATTCGCCAGCAAGTTCTATGACGTACACAAGAGAAAGATCCGAGTCTACTCCTGTTGCGTCCGCTAAGAGGTTATCCAAGCTGACTTCTCAATTTGATTTGAACAAGACAAACTCTAGCTTTTTCAAAAAACATGCTGAAGAGTTTGTTTCTACAAATACTATGTATATCATGCCTGTTCCTCATCCTGGAGTTTCTGCTGTTGAAACAATGATGAGAAATTTCATTCCCATAATTGATGCATTCAAACTATATGGACGTCCACATCGTTTAATCAGCGATAAAACAAATGCAGAGTCAATGTTGTTTGGATTACCTTTCTTGCCACACTACCAGTATCTTTCTACGCGCGATGCAGAAGAAGCATTCAGTATCAATTTCCATAATTCAATGAATGAATCTCAAATGGAAAAAATATTGAAGGATAAAATCAGTGAGTTGCAGTCTAGAAGTAAACCATATCGTGGGCACGGCAATATTGGCCAATTGTATGAAAAATTGGATTTGAGTTTTGATGAGATTACTTCACCTGTATTGAGTCCTAAGTTGGGTGACGATTTGCCAAGTTTGGGAGAGCCAATTGCTTTGGGAAGAATTGCCAGTCCATTAAGCGTGTAGGAATCGAAGAAGAGAGAAGGATGAAGTTGACACTATTGAGCGACACTATCTCGCTCTGCTCGATAGTGGAGCATCACTGACTAGTGATACTTTTATTTCATCAAGTACAAGTACAAGTGAGAGTGAGAGTGAATCATTCTAGTTTTGCTTTTCTTTCACTTGTAATGGCTATTATGTTATCATGACTTTAATTTTTTTTTTTATTTTTTTTCTTGTTTTCATTTCCATTTGCTATTTGCTAGTTTTGTTGTTTACTATTTACTATTTCCTGTTTTGCTTATAGAGAGAATCATGAGATTTCGATTGGCTTTTGATTTTGTAGATATATTGCGTATATATATGTTTATGTATGAAATGATTCCGAAGATCGGAGAAAAATACTCTGACACTTTATTTAAAAGCGATTTAGGAATAGCCTATCACTTTATTTACAAGCGATAACTAGAAATACTTTATTTAAAGGTGATAACTAGAAATACTCTATTACTTTGTTTAAAAGTGATAACCAGAGTGTGGACTTAGTCCTAGAGTTTCCTGGCGACACAGTTTTACGCGGAGACCTGCCCCCCTCAAGATCGAATCATTAATTTTTTCCAGGCCCATTCTTTTCTAGGCCATTTCTCTTTTAGGCCCATTCTTTTCTAGGTAAGAAAGAGAACTAATATAAATTGATAACTATATTAATAATTTCTTTTTTTAAGCTTTGTTATTGGGGAAAGGAGTTTGTCACTTTGTTTAAAAGCGATATTTACAAATTCTCCGTCACTTTGTTTAAAAGTGATATTTAGAAATTCTTTGTTTGTCACTTTGTTCAAGTTTATCTTTTGCACCCAAAAGGAGAAGGATCAAAAAAAAAAAAGAAAGAAAAAAAATAATTATAAAGAGAGAGTTAGATTTTGTGGTTGTATTTTTTTACTTAGTAATCATGACAAAGAATCAAATTGAAAATAATCGATATTGTAAATCAAATTGAAAATAATCGATATTGTAGATCAAATAGAAAAGAAACAAAACAGCAATCCAAATAGAACTGCAAACCAAACCAAACTGCAAACCAAACTGCAAACCCAACTGCATTCCCAACTGCAATCCAACTGCAATCCAACTGCATTCCCAATGAAAAGAAAACAAAGATGCATATAGGTTTTTCCATCTGATAAAGATTCACCCGATAAAATAGACACACCTCAACTTTCTCGTCTCTCTCGTTTAGCTAAAAACAATAGAAAGAAAAGAAAAAAAACCCAAGACGCGTGAAAGACGCGTGAAAAACGCGTGAAGAATAAAAAATTGTGACACGTTACACGTCTATATTATTCCTCTTTTCAATAAAAGTTTTGCGCATTTAACAAAACTTGATTCAATTCAATTCTATTCAATTCAATCTTATTTCTCAATATACATATAGTCTTTAACTAAATGTTGTTACTTTCAACAAACTTGATTCACAAAAAAAAAACAAGAAATATCGAAAAATATGTCATCATCACAAAAATCACCAGTTTTCATACTTTTCCCTATTCTTGTTTTGCGATAAACCTTTTGCAGAACTCGGAATACGATGCTAACTTTCTCCTAGTATTGTTTTCTCTTCATCTCCTTCTCTTATATAAATACTCCATCATGGCACCACGTCTTGAACAAATACAATTTTTTTTTTTCCTCTCATCTTAAATTTTTTTCTCTTCTTCACCATAGTCTTTTTTTTTTTTCACTAGTATTCTTTTTTTTTTTTTCACTAGTCTTTTCATTTAACAAGCAATAGAAGTATATCAAGGAAATATGTCTGTTGATACACCAGCCACCGGTCTTTCCAAAAAATTGGATACATTCGATATTAAAGGAGGCAAGTCCCTTTGTGACGCGTTAGCCGAGGCAGCAAAAGCAAAAGATGAAGCAAAAGGTGATGTCACATTGACTAAACAAAATTTAATTGAAAAATCTAATAACAAGGAAACATCTTGTAAGCAAGAAAATGAGAGCAAAACAAAAGAAGACGTTTTAAAGGCAAATAGACGTAAACTTAAGGAATTGGAAAAAGATGAACCACTACTTAAAGAAAACCCTAAACGGTTCGTTATGTTCCCTATACAGTATCATGAGATTTGGAATTTTTATAAAAAGGCAGAAGCTTCATTTTGGACCGCTGAGGAAATTGACTTGGGTAAGGATCTCCAAGATTGGAAAAAATTGAATGACAATGAACGATTTTTTATAAGCAGGATCCTTGCGTTTTTTGCTGCTTCCGATGGTATTGTAAATGAAAACTTGGTGGAGAATTTTTCTGCTCAAGTACAAATCCCTGAGGCAAAAGCCTTTTATGGATTCCAAATAATGATGGAAAACATTCACCTGGAGACTTACTCATTATTAATCGATACTTATATCAAAGACCGCAAAGAAGCAGATTACTTATTTAATGCAATTGAACATATACCTGCCATAAAAAAGAAGGCCGAGTGGGCACTTAGATGGATAACAGACCCTGAAGCAAGTTACGCTGAACGTTTGGTTGCTTTCGCCGCTGTTGAAGGTGTGTTTTTCAGTGGCTCGTTTGCTTCCATTTTCTGGTTGAAGAAAAGAGGTGTTATGCCGGGACTAACATTCTCCAATGAATTGATTTCAAGAGATGAAGGTATGCACACAGATTTTGCTTGTTTGTTATATAGCCATTTGGAAAATCGTCCAGAAAAGTCTGTTATTGAAAAAATCATTACTGAAGCAGTGTCGATTGAAAAAGAATTCTTCAACGATGCATTGCCCGTACACTTGCTTGGAATGAATGCTGACCTTATGAATACTTATGTCGAATTCGTTGCTGATAGATTATTGGAGTCTTTAGGTAACGAAAAAGTTTACAAAGTCACTAATCCTTTCGACTTTATGGAAAATATCTCCTTATGTGGTAAAACCAATTTCTTTGAAAAGAGAGTTTCTGATTATCAAAAAGCTGGTGTTATGGCTGGTTCCAAAGAGAATAACAATGCTTTTGCATTCGATGAAGATTTTTAATTGATTTAATACAAAAAGAAGATAAAGCAAAAAGGAAAAAGAATAAACCTAAAAAGAAAAAGAAAAAGAAAAATCCTTAAAGGAAAGGGATTGTTAGCACTAATTGTTATGTAATTAATAAATTTTTTTTTAATTTTTTTCATTATCAATAAGTAAAGGTAGAAAGGGTCCTCTCAACTCGTCACTACTGTGGTCTTTGTTGAAAAAGATGGTCTCTTCTTAAAACTCTCTTTTGCCTTTTTTCGCAGTAACTGGCGAAATGAAAAAAAAAAAATATGTTTTCTCAGACATCATCATCATCACCATCATCATCATCATCATCAAGTTCTTCATTTAAGTTGACAGAGAAAAATGGGGAAGGGAAAGAACAAGGCCAGTGAAGACAGAACAAGTGGATCTCGAACATCTAACGGACACAAACTGAAACAACATCATCTTCGAAAAGGAAGACAAGAATTAGGATCATCAGCATCAGATGGCGCTACCTCATCGAAACATAAATTCCCCACGAAACTAGCCATGTGGGACTTTGACCATTGTGATCCAAAGAGGTGCAGTGGTAAGAAACTCGAACGTCTTGGCTTGATCAAGAATTTGCGTGTAGGGCAGAAATTTCAGGGAATAGTAGTTAGTCCTAATGGGAAATTGACTGTTTGTCCCAATGATCTAGAAACGGTTGAACAAAATGGGGCAGCAGTTGTGGAGTGTTCTTGGGCGAGACTTGATGAAATACCGTTTAGTAAAATTGGCGGGAAAAATGAACGACTATTACCTTATTTAGTAGCTGCTAATCCGGTGAACTATGGAAGACCATGGAAATTGAATTGCGTTGAGGCATTGGCCGCATGTTTTGCCATTGTGGGTCACAATGACTGGGCTGAATCGTTATTACTGAACTTCTCGTGGGGTTTGACTTTTTTGAAAATAAATCAAGAGTTGTTGCAAGTTTACCAAGATTGTAGTGATTCAGAAAGTGTATTGAGGGCACAAGAAGAATGGTTGGTTAAGATAGAGCAGGAGTCCAAGCAGAGAAAAGAACAGGTACATAAAGAGGACGTTTGGATGTTGGGAAATGTGAATAGAAAAAAAAGAGATGATATTATGGATAGTGATGACGATGTGTCGGAGGAGGAGCTAGAAGAAGAAGAAGAAGAAGAAGAGGAAGAAGAAGAAGAAGAAGTAGAAGAAGTAGAATACGATAAATTTGGTAATATAATTGAGAAAAGGAAAGAAAAACAATTGTTGAATGAAATCAAATATGACAAATTAGGGAATGAAGTGGAAGAGGAATTGAGCGAGCAAGTGGATGCGCTATGTGTATAAGAGCTAAATAGAACAAGCAAACATTTGACGTGTTTCCGTAAAGTCTCTGAGAAACTTGTATCTTGCAGTCTTTTTCTCTATCTTGAATGGTTGAACCAACTCAAGATGAAAATATGCGCTTGAGAATCAAAGCTAAAAAAAAAAAAGGAACAAAAAATGGAAGAAAGGTTCAAGTTCTTTTCCAATTGATCCGTCCCTTTTTATTTCCCCAACAAGATGAAGGGTATCCAAATTGCCGTTGATCGAGGTGGTACCTTTTGCGATTTTATAGCCAAATGTCCCGGTAAAAAGGACTATGTGTTTAAACTTTTATCAGTTGACCCTACCAACTATGAAGATGCACCAACTGAAGGTATAAGACGAGTTTTGGAACACTTTACAAATACAAAAATTGCCAAAGGCTCCAAATTAAAGTTAGACCAGATTCAGAGTATACGAATGGGTACAACAGTTGCAACCAATGCGTTGTTAGAGCGAAAAGGTGCAAAAGTATTGTTGCTCACTACAAAGGGATTCAAAGATGTATTAGTCATTGGAAACCAAACGCGACCAAATATATTTGACTTGACAGCTAGAAAATTGGGTCAACTTTACGAACATGTTCTTGAAGTTGACGAAAGAGTAACAATTGCTGGATTCTCAGAGGGAGGCGGCGACAAGTTGAAGATTGATGTTGATGATGGTGATGATGATGATACATGCCTGGGCGTTACTGGCGATGTAATAAAAGTGGTCAAAGAGCCAGATTATAAACAAGTTGAACAAGAATTGAGACAGGTGTACAACCAAGGAGAAATCAAGATAATTGCTATATCGTTACTTCACTCTTATGCGTATCCTCGACATGAGGCAGAGATCGCGGCTATAGCGAAAAAGATTGGCTTTGATGTTTCGGTATCTCATGAATTACAACCAATGATAGGATTCGTTAATCGTACTTCTTCCACAGTGGCAGATGCCTATCTATCACCAGTGATAAATGAATACATTAGAAGCTTTGGTGCTGGTTTTGAAGGAGGATTGGATGCTTTTGGTAATAAACTCTTATTCATGCAATCCAATGGTGGATTATGCCCTTGGTACAAATTCACAGGGTTGAAAGCTATATTATCTGGTCCAGCTGGTGGTATGGTTGGATTTGGCAAGACCTGTTACGATTCAGTTTCCAAAAAGGCGACTATTGGTTTTGATGCAGGTGGCACTTCAACTGATGTGTCAAGATATGCAGGTAGTTTAGAACACATTTACGAAACTATAGTAAGCGAAGTTCACCTCCAGACACCTCAATTGGATATCTCCACAGTGGCAGCCGGCGGTGGGTCAATGTTGTTTTGGAAAAATAAAATGTTTGTTACTGGACCCGACTCTGCTGGCTCTGATCCTGGCCCAGCATGTTATAGAAAAGGTGGTCCATTAACTGTGACGGATGCTAATTTATTTTTGGGAAGGTTGATTGCGGAGAAATTCCCCAATATTTTCGGACCTAAGCAAGATAAACCTTTGGATTGTGAGATTGTGGCCAAGAAATTTGCTGAATTAACTCAGGAGATCAATAAAGATCAAGAAATCAAATTGACTCCTGAGGAGGTTGCCAGTGGATTTTTGAAAGTTGCTGTGGAGTCCATGGCTAGACCAATTAGAAATTTGACCGAAGCAAAAGGGTTTGAAACGTCGCTTCATAACTTGGCTTCCTTTGGTGGATCAGGTGGGCAGTTTGCAGTTGCATTGGCTAAAAATTTGGGAATAGGATATGTTGCTGTGTACAAGTACTCTTCTTTATTATCAGCTTACGGTATACAATTGGCAGATATAGTGATTGAAAAGCAACTACCAGCTTCGATAACGTATTCCGAGGAAGAGTTTGAAAAAATTGACGAAAAGATTAGACTATTGACAGCTGAAGCGTATGAAGAGTATAAGAATCAGAATTTGACTGATCTCAAAACAAGATTAGAGGTGTATTTGAATATGAGGTATGTTGGAAGTGATACTCATTTGTTAATAGCTACAAAAGTAGGTGAGCATGATGCTGATGAAAAATTTATCAGTAGGCATAAAAGCGAGTTTGGCTTCAATTTGAATAGAAAGGTGTTGGTTGACGATGTGCAGGTTTTACTTATTGCTGAGTCTGACGATAAAGAAAATCATAATCCATATGAAGAATATGCCAATTTGAAATCAACAATACCTGTTTCTCCAGGTCCAATCAAAAAAAAAGTATACTTTGAAGCAAATGGTTGGCAAGAGACTTCCATTTACATATTATCAGATTTGGAAGCTGGTTCAATTGTGCCAGCACCAGCAATTATTATTGATGACACACAGACTCTTTTAATTGAACCTGGGTCAAAAGCTATTATATTATCAAACCACGTTTTGATTGAGGTTGAGCAAGAAAAGAAACCACAATTATCCGAAACAACCATTGACCCAATTCAGTTATCAGTTTTTGGCCATCGATTTATGTCAGTTGCAGAACAGATGGGCCGCACTTTGCAGCAAACAGCCATATCTACCAATATCAAAGAGAGATTAGATTTTTCATGTGCAATTTTCGATCATAATGGCGATTTGATTGCTAATGCACCTCACATCCCAATCCATTTGGGCTCTATGTCTTATGCAGTCAAGGCTCAAATGAAAATGTGGCAAGGTAAATTAGAACCGGGAGACGTACTAGTATCGAATCATCCAATAGCTGGTGGCTCTCATTTGCCGGATATCACTGTTATCACACCAGTACTCAATGATAAAAATGAACCAATTTTTTGGACCGCATCTAGAGGCCATCATGCAGATATTGGATCTATAGCTGCTGGGTCAATGCCGCCAAATTCCAAAACCATTTATGATGAAGGTGCTGCAATAATAACCCACAAGCTATGCTCAAAAGGAAAATTCGATGAAGCAGGGGTTACCAGAATCCTTGTAGACGAACCAGCCAAGCAACCGGGAGGATCTGGTACGCGGACGCTAAACGATAATATATCGGACTTGAAAGCACAAGTTGCAGCCAACTACAAAGGCATTGTTCTTTTACAAAGATTAATTGATGACTTTACATATGAGGTAGTTAGATTGTACATGGGAGGCATACAAGCCACAGCAGAGGTAGCTGTGAGGAATTTGCTCAAGTTGGCGTACAAGAAATTTGGCTCTAGAGAATTGAAAGGTATTGATTACATTGATGATGGAACTCCTATAGCATTAACTGTTACTATTAATCCGGAAACAGGCTCGGCTTTATTTGACTTTAGCGAAACGGGTGATGAAATTTACGGTAATTTAAATGCACCTACTGCGATCTTGTACTCAGCGGTATTATATGTACTAAGATGTTTGATAAGCACTGATATTCCCTTGAATAACGGGTGTTTGAGACCAATTGAGTTCAAGACTAGAGAGGGCTCTTTAGTAAGTCCATCTGCAGACGCAGCGGTTGTAGGAGGTAACGTTGAAACTACACAAAGAATTGTCGATGTAATGCTCAAGACTTTCCAAGCCGCAGCAGGATCACAAGGCACTTGCAATAACTTAACATTTGGTACGAATGACCAAACAAGTGGGGTCTCATTTGGATATTATGAGACCATATGTGGAGGTTCTGGGGCAGGTCCTTCATGGCACGGACAGTCCGCAGTTCAGTGTCATACCACCAACACCAGAATGACTGATACAGAGATATTTGAAAAGAGGTATCCTGTGTTGGTCCACGAATATTCCATACGACGTGGTTCTGGCGGTGATGGACTTTATAAAGGCGGCGATGGTGTGGTTAGGAGCATTGAGTTCTTATATCTGCTTGAAGTATCCTGTTTGATGGAAAGAAGATCTTTAGCTCCTTATGGCTTGTTAGGGGGAGAAGAAGGGGCTAGAGGTAAAAATTACTGGTATCACAAGCTGGTGAACGGAGGATATAAACGGAAATCACTTGGCGGTAAGTGTACAATAAAAATGGGAAAAGGAGATAGAATAGTTATAGAAACTCCTGGTGGGGGTGGGTACGGTGAGCTGATAGTAAGAAACAAAGAAAAGGTTCGGTCCGAAATCGAGGACAATAAGGATTCTTGCCAATTGGGAAATAAACAGCGGGAAACTCAATTCCTAATTGAAAGCTCAAAACCAACAATATTGACGGGATCAATTGGTTTAAGAGCGAATATTCAAGACACTAACTAGCATGTATAAGATACAGATGACTAATTGAAGATATTTATTTACAAGGTGTTTTTATCTATTTGACAAAAATATACACAGAAAAACAATTCAGCCATATACGTAACTGCAAAACGAAACAATAAAGAACGTAAATTAGATAATACTGACCAAAAAAAAACCTCTCTATTGTTATCATAAGAAAAACATTGTAATTCAATATCAAAAAAAAAAAGAGAGAGAAAGGTCCAGGTTTCTAACCATATTGCATTCCCGTAAAGTGGCTCCTGCAAATATCTGACAAATGAAAAAAGCGATAAGGTAGAGGTATCAAGATTGTGAAATTGCGAAATTGCGAAATCGCGAAATAGGGAATTTGCAGAATTAGAAAGAAATGAGGTTTGCTGTTTGCATATAGATTAGTATTTTTGAGATTACCCCTCCCTCCTTGCATTGAATTAGGACTCTACCTGTCAAAATATAAAAGATCTCTTAGCATGTACCTCATTTTTATATACATTTAATACCCCCATGGTATGTATCAACAAGTACAGGGTCAGGGGACTACTAGGGAGTCAGGGGGGAGTAGGAGAGGGATGATTAGTCAATAATTATTAATCTTACTAACAATCCGGGCTTACCAGATCGTTAAGGATCTTTCCAAATAGAAAATGTGGCTTTAAAGGTTTTGCCTAATGTGACTATCATTAAAATCTGTTAGATCTAGTTTTTTTTTTTTTTCTTGTATTCTTTACTCACTTATAACCGCTTAATAAACTATTTTTTCTTTGTAAAAACTTATCTTTATAACCAGGTACCCTAACCATTCTCTATTACAACTTAACATTCTAATACGTTGATCTTTGTCATAATTAGGTGATATGAATGTGAAACTTACGGTTTGTGCGGCATCAAAATGGGAATTGTTCTCAAAAAGAAATAAAAATATAAACTGCGTTGAATTAAGTTTCCCTCGTGTCTTACGGGGTTTCGTTTAACATCCTCTAAAAAAAAAAAAAGAATAATATGATAATCACCAAAGGAATTGATAGGTATCAATCAAATTTAACATAACATTGTAGCTAGGGAAAACAAAAAGACCTGGACTGGTACAGGATTCGTACTACTTGGTTGCAATCCTTATCTACTCACGAGTTAGCCCTTAACATTGTTCATATAATAAATGTAAATTAGGTCCAGATAAGTAAAACCAATAATTACAATTCAGGAAGGAGTACCCATTGTTTTTAGACAGGTATCTAAAATACTATTGTTGGTGTCAAAACATGTGGGTTTTAAAAAAAATTAATTATAGCGTTGTTCCCCCCTCTCCCTATGCGATATGGAAAGTAATGTATACTCGCTACCTCGTATTTTTAATGGCTGCAAAATTGTTGACTCCTTTTTGCAATAGATAAAAAAAAAGACTCCTTCTTTATCGAACATAGGAAACAATGAAAAAGCTGCTTATCATCACCGGGCCGACTCTTAAATAATGTATGGTAAAACAAAAGGATATCCTATAGATGAATGAGGTACCCTCGTCCCCCTACCTCAATCCATCTAGGTATTTAAGTCGTTAAAATTGTTTGCTAGTTTGGGGTTGTTTTTTTTTTCCCATCTTTCTTTAAGGTTTCAATCAGGAAAGTACCAATATGTTTTTCAGAAGCAGTTGGAAGCACGCCAATCTTCCTAAGATTTTCCTTAGAAGAACTAGCAACGCTTCTGTCAAGATTCAAAATTCAAAGTTTTCAGGCTACACTGCCTTAGGTGTTGGTACAATCGCTGTTGGATATTTCATTGGAAAAACACTCAATTCACCTGGTCCTACAAATGATTCTGCTAGTTCATCGTTCTTCTTTAAGCGCCAAAACGCTGGCTTAGAAGATCCTTCAACTACACCATTATCTTCAATAGACCCTCCGGTATATGCCAATGAAAAACAATTCAAAGAAGGTTTAAATAAAATCATTGCAATTGTGGGAAAACAAAACGTTCAAGATGACAAGGCGGTTCGCGATTCCCACAACGATTCTCATTTCTCAAGTCACCATCCACCAGATCCCACAAAGCAAAGACCCGAAGTTGTTATTACCCCATCATCTACAGAACAAGTGTCCAAGATTATGAAAATAGCTCACGAGTATAGAATACCCATTGTTGCAAGTTCTGGTTTAACCTCATTGGAGGGACAGAATATCCACACCAGAGGTCCTTACAGTATATCACTTTCCTTCTCAAAGATGGACAAGATTCTCGCTTTTCATCCTGACGATATGGATGTGGTGGTTCAGCCTGGTGTTGGATGGCAGGAGTTGGACGATTTTCTAAAAGATGACCCGAAAGGCAAGAACTTACTTTTTGGTCCTGATCCAGGCATTGGAGCAAACATTGGAGGTATGGTTGGTACCAGTGCCAGCGGAACCAATGCCTTCAAGTATGGAACAATGAAGGAAAGTGTTGTCAATCTCACTGTTGTGTTGGCAGACGGAACTGTGATCAAGACAAGACAAAGACCAAGAAAGTCAAGTGCTGGATATGATTTGACAAGGTTGTTTATCGGAACTGAAGGTACGGCAGGTGTTGTTACTGAAATCACCTTGAAGTTGCATATACGTCCAAAGGTGGAATATATCACTGTTGTTGCTTTCCCCACGATCAAAGATGCCGCAGCTGCAGCACAGACCATTATCTCAAGAGGCATTCAACCAAATGCAATGGAGCTTTTGAACGATACAATGATGGCATGGGTCAATGGAACCTCTTCAGGAAAGAAATGGTTGGAAAAGCCCACATTGTTTTTCAAATTGGGTGGTCCCTCTGATCAAGCTATTGATGAACAGTACAAAGTCGTCAATGAAATTGCTTTCCAAAACAAAGCCCTCAAGATTCAAAAAAGTACAAATCCCGAGGAGAATGCCGAATTGTGGGCAGCTAGGAGAAATGGGCTTTGGTCAACTTATGAGTATGGTGCTAAGGTATTGAAGGACCCTAACGACGTTCAGCTCTGGACAACTGATGTGGCAGTACCAGTTTCCAAACTAGCTGATGTTATTAGTGAAATTAATGATGATTTGGTTGCAGATGGTTTCGAAGGAAAATTCTCGGTATTAGGTCATGTAGGAGACGGTAATTGTCACTTTCTTATTCTTTACAACTCACCAGACTATGGTAGAGTTCAAGCTGGTGTTGATCAAATGGTGCGCCGTGCATTGAATTACGAAGGTACATGTACTGGAGAACACGGTGTTGGTGTTGGAAAAAGACAATATATAATTGACGAGCTAGGTCAATCAACTATTGATGCAATGAGACAGATTAAGCTAGCTTTAGATCCAAGAAGAATATTGAACCCAGACAAGGTATTTAAAATTGATCCAAATGATGATTTAGATGAGCAATTGAGCACAGGTCAAATTATTGAGAAGCATGAGTGCAAATTGAACCATTAAAGTTAATTCAATTAAATCAAATTGAAGAAAACAATATCCTAATGTTAAAGCAACTTTCTTTTTTAAGAAAACAATAACCCAATGTTAAAGCGACCTTTTCTTTTTCTCTTTATTTGACTCTAAAGCAAGCTGGACTTTAGATCCATAGTAATTGGTTAGGAGGTGACTAGTGGTGACATCTATGCATGTTCTTTCGTTGAAAGAGAGAGAGAGAGAGAGAGAGAGAGAGAGAGAGAGAGAGAGAGAGAGAGAGAGATTGTTACCTGATTATGGCGCGGATGAGTTTATTATTGGTAAAGATTGCAAAAAAGATATTATTATTTTTTTTCTTCAAATGTTTGAGGGTCAGCGGCTCGCTCATTACATTTGAGGCATTCCGAAGCAAACAAGTTTATTGCGCCCATTTTAGTAGATCTACGGCATCAAATGCTGTTTAAAGAACAAACTTCCTCCTCCATTTTCCCCCTTTAGAACTTTCGTTCTTTTTCTTACTACTTTTGATACTTTTTTCTTGTAATCGGGGCAACTATAATCGGTATTATTAAAATGTTTCTTAAGAATAGCTGGGGCATTGCAAAGTCATCAAGACGGTTTTTCCAAAGCAGAGCTTCAGATGTTCGAGGAAAAATATTTAGAGCTTCAGATGTTCGAGGAAAAATATTTAGAGCATCAAACTATGTCCTTTTGGGGATAGGTACAGTTACTCTTGGGTACATTGTAAACACATCAGTTGTGGCAAATGATTCCTCTATTAATATTGATATATCGTCCCTTGACAAATCTGATCGTTCAACAAAACCCTTGGCCTCATTGACGTCACCCGTGTATGCAGACGAGAAACAATTTAAAGCGGGATTGGCGAAAATTGTCAAGATAGTAGGCAACGAGAACGTGATTTACAACGAGGAGATACTCAGTGCACATGCTGATTCCTTTTTTTCAACACATCACCCACCAGACCCGGTTAAACAAAAACCAGATGTAGTGATAACGCCATCTTCTACTGAAGAGGTATCCAAGATTATGAAGGTAGCTCACGAGTATAGAATACCCGTTGTTGCGAATTCGGGGTTGACTTCACTAGAAGGGCAGAACATTCACACCAGAGGTCCTTATAGTATATCACTTTCCTTCTCAAAGATGGACAAGATTCTCGCTTTTCATCCTGACGATATGGATGTGGTGGTTCAGCCTGGTGTTGGATGGCAGGAGTTGGACGATTTTCTAAAAGATGACCCGAAAGGCAAGAACTTACTTTTTGGTCCTGATCCAGGCATTGGAGCAAACATTGGAGGTATGGTTGGTACCAGTGCCAGCGGAACCAATGCCTTCAAGTATGGAACAATGAAGGAAAGTGTTGTCAATCTCACTGTTGTGTTGGCAGACGGAACTGTGATCAAGACAAGACAAAGACCAAGAAAGTCAAGTGCTGGATATGATTTGACAAGGTTGTTTATCGGAACTGAAGGTACGGCAGGTGTTGTTACTGAAATCACCTTGAAGTTGCATATACGTCCAAAGGTGGAATATATCACTGTTGTTGCTTTCCCCACAATCAAAGATGCCGCAGCTGCAGCACAGACCATCATCTCAAGAGGCATTCAACCAAATGCAATGGAGCTTTTGAACGATACAATGATCTCCTTTGTCAATGAGATGACGGAAGGGAAAAAAATATTGGAAAAGCCCACATTGTTTTTCAAATTGGGTGGTCCTACTAAGCAAGCGATAAATGAGCAGTCGAAACTTGTTGACGAAATTTCCACTGAGAATTGTGCATTAAAGATTCAAAAAAGTACAAATCCCGAGGAGAATGCCGAATTGTGGGCAGCTAGGAGAAATGGGCTTTGGTCAACTTATGAGTATGGTGCTAAGGTATTGAAGGACCCTAATGACGTGCAAATTTGGACAACTGATGTAGCAGTTCCAGTTTCCAAACTAGCTGACGTCATCAACAAAATCAACGACAATTTAGTAAATCGTGGGTTTGATGGCAAATTTTCTGTGTTGGGCCACATTGGTGATGGAAATTGTCATTTTCTTATTCTTTATAACTCTCCAGATTATGGGAAAGTTCACGCGGCAGTTGACGAAATGGTTGATCTCGCGTTACAATACGAAGGTACATGCACCGGAGAACATGGCGTAGGAATAGGGAAAAGAAAGTACGTCGAGCAAGAGTTGGGAGATACAACAATCGATACTATGAGACAAATCAAACTAGCATTAGACCCACGACGAATCTTGAATCCGGATAAGATCTTCAAGATTGATCCAAAGGATGACTTTGATGAACAGTTAAATGCGGGTCACATTGTTGAGAAACATGAATGTAGACTGAATCATTAGACGTTGTGAACTTGTTATTGTTGTTGTTAGGGAGGGTGCGGGGGTGACGTTTCCCCTTTTGTTCTACCCTTCTTTTTCGTTTCTCGTAGTTCAAACCCCCCTAAGCTAACATCCTCATCTCGACCCACTAAAAAAAAAAAAGAAATAAGAAAAAAAAAACGTTCTGATAAGCGAAATCATCTCTAGTCATCTCCTTTTTTCTTTTATATAACCATTTTATGAGCAGACAACAATGGGTGAAAGGTCCAATTTGTGGAACGGACAACTGCCGTTCTAAGTATTATCGGAATCAAGATGGGTTGTCGATTTGTCAGTTTGGTCATGTTCTTGAAGGTGCTATTGAGTTCAATGATGATCAAGATGTAGCTGTAGTCAGTACCAGGAGGTTAAATACAGTAGCAGTTGACGAACGAGGTCTTTTGGCAAGTCAGTCGAGTCAAAGATATTCCCAGGGTAGGAGAAAAAGGGAAAGAGCGGTTGGGTCTGAGGCGATACCGATATATTTCCGTTGTTTACAGATCTTGTTGAAACATGAGTTAAACGCGATAATTGAATTGTTTTTTAGTGAGAGTATACGACACGACTTGACGTTGATTGTGAAGACCAATTGGTCCAAGGCTTTGAACCGATTTTACAAGGTGGAAGAAAATGCAACAGAACATGATGAGAATGCGAATGCGAATGCGAATAAGAATCACAGTGGACACTTCAAAAAAGAGAGTCTAGATATCTTGGATCTCATTTGCATCATTTATATTTCAAGCTTGTATTTGCAGGCCTACCCGATGTATTTGAGTGATATAATGGAGAGTATGAAACTGGACAAGATACCATTTTTCAAAACTTACCATTTATTACCTAAAGAAGACTTGGATCAGTTGCATGGATCATATCATGGACGTTTACAAGCACATGAAATGCCCCAAGATGGTCAGATATACCGACGACTTTTCCAGTTGAATGCTGTGCTTTTTGAGGAGGAGAAGAAGAAGAAGAAGGAGGAGGAGGAGGAGGAGGAGGAGGAGGAGGAGGAGGAGGAGGAAGGGTGTTTAGCGGTCCCTGTAAGCTATTATTTTCCCTTCATATTCAAGACATTGTCCAAGACATTGAATTTGCCCAATGCGCCAGAGGTGTTTATTCTCATTTACAATTACTTAGAATTGATTAAAATTAACCAGTTTGAAATCAAATCTAGGCTCAAAACTGTAAAGAGATTACTTGATAGTTTTCCAGAAGTTCACATTGTGGTAGTCATTATATTTGTGCTAAAGTTGAATCTTCGATATGGTAAGCAATTGTTTGTGTCAACTAAAAATAAAAGTGATGACAATTATTTGTTCACTATGCCACCCGACAAAATCAATGAATATTGCGATTGGATTTACCAACACTTGGTACCTGACAAGTATACTAATGAGAAGAATGAAATCTCGGTGATGGAAAAGAGATTATTTCAAATTTTTGATTTTAAAGATTCTGCTGAGACTTGTAATCTAGATATAGCTGGATCAGAACAAAAGGTTGTGGCAAACTCGTCGCATGTTGAATATGTAACAGATACAAACGAAATTGACGAAATCTTGTTTCAACAATTAGCTCCTATGATTAATCTTTCAGTTGATCATTTGAAGGAACTTTACAAGTCAATTAGTCAAGCTCACCACCTTAAAGCGCCAATAAATTAAAATCCTTCTCGGCTTTTAAAGAAGAAAGGGAAATTTTCGGAGTTCTTGCTGAAATGCAAATCCTCCTATTTATTAGTGGTGGAACTTGATTTGCGTTTAATTTCCAAAAACGTAAATAAGGAATTTTATAGAAGGTAGCAGTTTGTACGAGGTAGCAGTTTGTACGAGGTAGCAGTTCTTTAAAGGTAGCGGTACAAAATACCAGGTACTTTCTATTTTTTTTTTGGCATCACTTGTTTGAAAAGTGGGGTCGCCGGTAGTAGCCGGAACCGTTGCAGATGTAAATAGTTGTTTATTCCATTAGAAAGATTACAAGTAAAGCTGACCACGAACCATTGAATCGGTTCAATGGACACGATAGAGAGAATAGGGTATGAGATCATCGTACTTATTTTTCAGAGCAAAAGATGACTCTCTAAAGGTAAATGTAACATTCATCTAAGGTGCCGAAATGTCGTTAGTTAGTAAGGAGATATTACTATATCATTACTAATTCTCTGTTCCATTATCCTTATCTTTAGTTGAAAAGCTCTTATGGTTATACACCATTATTTGCTTTTCACTATTAATTTTTCACCATTGATTTTTTCCTATTGATTTTACCATTGTTTTTTTACTATTAATTTACACTATTGATTTTACTCACGGGTTTGATTTTTACTATCGGTTTTACACACGGTTTTGATTTTCACTTGATTTTACACACGGTTTTGATTTTCCGCTATTGATTCTTTCCTTCGTACAAAGGTCTTACCAATAAAGTGCCAAAAATTTTTCTTAGATAATTGTCTTTTCAACAAAACTCGGACTTTTTACTCAACAAAGTTTGTGTTAGATTTTGATCGATTGTGCCTCCGTTGTGATTGTAACTATAATTTGATAGGTCGATGTTTGTATGCAAAAAAAAAAAAAAGAAAATTAAAACTACGTAATAGAAAACCAACAAGCCCAATAAGAATGCTTTGTTTTTATTAGGCTTGTTCTCAACCCCACAACGTACATCTCGTTCAGCATGTTCTTCTATGTAATGTAATTTTTATTTTTTTCGGCGTGTACATTATAGTAAAAGATTAGAGTATGCTTAATGATTGTTTCTTTCAACAACATGCATCAAAGCAATTAATTGTTGAGTATATAAATAAATCTCGGAGTACCATCAACCTTATTTTATCTCCTCTTTTTCTCTTTTCTTTACTTCTCAACCTCTATACCTTTTTTCTTTTTTTTAAAACGAGTGTTGTGCCAACAAAGAGTTATGTTGACAAAGACATGTATAAGAAACAGGATCCTTGCTTCTAGGATCCTGTTGAATTCTCGAAGAACGTTTTATCCATCAACTATGAAATTAGCTGATTTGCCATTAAAAGTAAAAGTTAAAATTCCAACCGGTAGGGAGTATGAGCAACCTACAGGGTTATTCATCAACAACGAGTTTGTTTATCCAAAACAGAAAAAAACGTTTGATGTTATCTCACCTACCAATGAAGAGTCTATCACTTCGGTGTATGAAGCTCTTGAAGAAGACGTAGATATTGCCGTTGAAGCTGCTAATGCTGCTTATCCTAGATGGTCAACATCACCTCCAGCTGTTAGAGCCAAGGTTTTGTACAAGTTGGCTGATTTGATTGACGAGAACGCTGACTTGTTGGCTGAGATTGAAACTTTTGACAATGGTAAATCCTTGATGAACTCAAAGGGTGATGTTGCATTGACTGCCGCTTACTTTAGATCCTGTGCTGGTTGGTGTGATAAGATTTTGGGTAATTTGATCAACACAGGTGCCACTCACTTGAACTATACTCAGAGAGTGCCATTAGTTTGTGGACAAATCATTCCATGGAACTTCCCCATCTTGATGTTGTCGTGGAAATTGGGACCAGTTTTGGCATCAGGATCCACCACGGTTTTGAAATCTGCCGAGTCTACCCCCTTGTCGGCATTGTATGTTGGTAAGTTGTTAGTCGAAGCTGGTATGCCAAAGGGTGTTGTCAACATCATCTCTGGTTTCGGTAACCCTGCAGGTGCTGCTATTGCATCACATCCTAAATTGGAAAAGGTTGCATTTACCGGATCAACTGCGGTTGGACGAAAAATAATGAAAGCAGCTGCTGAATCCAACTTGAAGAAAGTTACTTTGGAATTGGGAGGTAAATCACCAAATATTGTTTTCAATGATGCTGACATTGATCGCACTATTCAAAATTTAGTGATGGCTATCTTTTACAACTCAGGTGAAGTTTGCTGTGCTGGTTCACGTGTTTTGATCCAATCTGGTGTCTATGACGAGGTTTTGGCCAAGTTCAAGAAAGCAGCTGAAAGCATCAAAGTTGGCAATCCATTTGACCCAGAAACCTTTATGGGTGCACAAGCATCAGAGATTCAATTATCTAAGATTTTAAATTATATTGAATCAGGAAAAGGACAAGGAGCTAAGATCCTCACAGGTGGCCAAAGGTGTCAAGGTAAAGGTTTCTTCCTTCAACCAACCATCTTTACCGATGTCAAGGATGACATGAAGATTGTAAAGGAAGAGATTTTTGGTCCCGTTGTGTCAATTATCAAGTTTGATACCGTTGAAGAAGCCATCGCCTTGGCAAATAACACAGAGTACGGTTTAGCAGCTGGTATCCATACTAGTAACATCAACCAAGCCATCCATGTCTCCAACAAGATCAATGCTGGTACCGTATGGATCAACACATACAATGACTTTAATCCAATGGTTCCATTTGGTGGCTTCCACTCTTCTGGTATTGGTAGAGAAATGGGAGAGGAAGTGTTCCACGAATACACTCAATGTAAAGCCGTCAGAATCAAATTGCTGCTTCCAGGTACAAAACTCTAAAACACAATGCAATATCCATTAGGACATGTCAGAGAAGGTAAATATTGTCTTTGCAACTTGAATGTATATATACCAGCCTGGCTCTTTTTTTTTTTTTTTTTCTTTCTTTCTTTTAAGTCCTTTTAGAACAAAACATTTATACACTTATCCAGTATACCGTCAAAAGTAAAGCTCTAGCAGTATTTTCGCTTGCGTGCTCCACTTTCTCAGAAGAGGAGGAAGGGGAGGAGGGGGAGGAGGAGTCTAAATCTCTGTTCATTTGAACAGTTATACATCCATCTTTCGAAGGCTCCCAATAAGCTACAAAATCTGTCTCTATGTTCAAATCAATCTTTTGAGATTCAACTTTCATCTTGGTGCATTGAATAATAAATTTGTGCTTAGATGAAATCTTGTCCAACTCATGGCCAATTCTTTCAATCAACGCTTTTGGTTCTAATGCATAATGTTCATTTATGATTTTAAGAAGTTGGTCCTCTGTGAAAGGTGCTTCCAAGCATTGCGACCTGTTTGTAATCTTCACTATTCCCATCTTCTAATGGATAAACTTTCCCTCCTAAAAAAAAAAAGAAAGGTAAAGAAAGGAAAGGGAAAGAAAAAAAAAAACAATTGATGGAGAATTCAAACTTCCGATAACGTGTATAGAAAATTAGTTTGATTATTTTTTCTACTTTTTATTTCAAGAGAAACGATATTGATACAAGCTTTTTGAAGCACCCCCACTTTTCTAGAAGCGTGGCACTTGAAATGAGGCTTTTCCGCTTTGGAAGTGATGATACTGAGACAGAAAGCGGGAAAAGTCAAACCTCGGAAGTAGGGTCTATTTCATCAAAGTCTACAGCAGCAACAAGTCAGTTACCACCTTTTTTGATAAAGCGCCAAACACCATTTGAACAACCAGTAAATCCCATTAAACCACCAAAATTTGACTTGAGTTTTGAACAGGAAAAATTATATGAACAGCTACTCGGTTACTACCAAGATTACATAACCAAGGAGATTCCAATTGACGATTCACACAATGCGCCAACGCATCCTATCACAGAGGAGGAACTAGGTTGGCTTTCAAAAGAGTGCCTTTTAAGGTACTTGCGTGCGAGTAAATGGAAATTGGATGTTGCAATCAAAAGGTTACATGAAACAATAATTTGGAGAAGATCGTTTGGCGTTGTTCATATTCCAAATAACACCAACAAAAATAAACTAATCACCGCTAATATGGTTGCTGCTGAAAATGAAACCGGGAAGCAATTGATAGTAGGATACGATAACGATAACCGGCCATGTCTTTATTTGCGCAATGGGTATCAAAACACCTCGGGGGGACTTAGACAGGTGCAGCATTTGGTATTTATGTTGGAAAGAGTTATTCAGTTTATGCCTCCAGGACAGGATAGTCTTGCGCTCTTGATAGATTTCAAAGCGGCTCCATCTGAATTGAAATTGTCTTCAAAATTTCCATCTTTGTCAACGTCGCAGCAGTGTCTACATATTCTTCAAAGTCATTATCCCGAAAGACTAGGTAGAGGCTTATTTACAAATATCCCCTTGATTGGACAGGCATTTTTCAAACTTGTGGGACCTTTTATAGACCCGCACACTAGACTGAAAACCATATATGACCAGCCATTTGCTAATTTCGTCCCCGCAGAACAATTGGATAAGGAATTCCAAGGACTTGTGGATTTTCAATACGTCCATGACATTTACTGGCCAAAAATGAATGAAATTGCCGAGTATAAACACAAGGTGTACATGGAGAATTTTAGAAGACTTGGGTCCAAGATTGGGTTGAGTGAGTATGATTTAAGATTGGAACAAAAAGAGGATTAGAAGCACACTCGAGAAATCTATTGTAAATCAGCAGCAACAGGAACGACCACGTGTGTACCATTTATACCTCAGTTAGAGTTTATAGAATATAGAGGATAATCCATCACCACTCCACTCCACATTATCTACGACTAACAATTATCTGATGCGCATCGCATAATTCTTATTCTTATTTTTTTTTTTTTCATTTTTTTCACTTCCTTCAGTACCAGTTAGTTGTTACACTAGCAGTAATAGTGAACCATGCAACAGTGTGTAATTACTGCTATATCACATTTGGATATACTTTCCAATGATACTTTACAAAAAATTGAACAGTTTGTGAAGGAAACTTTGGGAGTGGATCTGTCAACTATAGATATAAAACAACTTTCTCCACGTGCATACGACTACTTTGTAGAGATTTCAGACTTGGATAAATGTCGAGAATTGGTCAAGACTCAATGCTTGAAGCAAGATTACGACTTGATAATCCAGGCGGTTTCAACGAGACAAAACAAGAAACTATTTGTTTTCGATATGGACTCAACTTTGATATATCAAGAAGTTATCGAGCTAATAGCTGCATATGCTGGAATTCAAGACAAAGTTGCAGAGATCACAAACCGAGCTATGAATGGGGAAATTGATTTCAATGAGAGTTTAAAGGAGAGAGTCGGTCTACTACGCGGAATAAATTCAACGACAATATGGCGCGAATTGGAACAGAAAATTGAAATTACAAATGGTGTAAAGCCCTTGACTAAAGCGTTGAAAAATATGGGATGCACATTGGCAGTTTGCTCTGGTGGATTCATACCGCTAGCAGAGCATATTAAGGAACAGTTGGGTTTAGACTATGCTTTTGCGAATAAATTGAGTGTTGATGACGATAACATTTTGAATGGAGAAACAGTTGGCGAAATTGTCAATGGTGAAAGAAAGGCCGAGCTATTGTTAGAGATTGCCCAAAAGCATAACATATCACCTGCAAATGCAGTGGCTATAGGTGATGGGGCAAACGATTTGAAAATGATGTCAGTTGCTGGTTTTGGTATTGCTTGGAATGCCAAACCAAAAGTTCAGTTATTAGCTCCTGCATGCTTAAACACAACGTCACTTTTGGATGTATTGTATATAATGGGTCACACCGATGAGCAGATAAAGACCCTTATAGAGTAGAAGTAGATTCTGAAGTAGTCTCCATCATTTGAACAATTTTTCCTCGTACTACCCCCATGACACCATTGAATAGTAATACGTCAGTTCCAACTCTTATTTGATCCATTGATATCATGCCTTCTTCAATAAGGTTTTTGCGCAACAAAAAGTGACGCGTTACGCCACAAAGACATCCTGAGCTCAACATTGGCGTAACCCATTTCCCATCTTCTTCGAGCTTCACTGCAACATTTGAAATCGAACCTTCCATAAGGTGGTTTTGGGTGTTGAACAACAATACTTCTTCACGCCCTGGTTTCAAACCTGGTAGAACCTTTCTAGCTCGGTTGTAAACGTCTCGACTGGTTGTTTTGAAAGAAGTAAATGGAGAAATCAAGCAAGATTCGTTATTAGTGTATACATCCCATATATTATCACTTTTCCCTTCTTCTTCTTCATTTTCATTATCATTTCTTCTTCCAAAATTATGTAGGAAATGGAATTTTTCCATGTCTTCCACTTTCGGGCATAAAACACCAAGCAAATTTTTTCTGATAGGCGTATTGTGAATCTCTAGCTTTACTGATCCGTCGAGTTGGAATAAACCTCTAATCTTGTGAGGTGCCAATATTAACGCATCCAGGCTCTTCAAACACGCAATTAACTGTTTTAACAAGTCCTCCTCTGTAATTTCAAAGTCCAAAACAGTTTCACACAAATAATGGAAAAACTCAAACGTAAACCTCAATCTCTTTACATGTTCTGGTAGTAAAAAAAAATTTTGTCTAGTTATTTCTTCATATTTAACTGGTGGAACATCAGATATATCTGGATCGTATCGAATTGTAGATAAAATTGCAAAATCGCAATTTGGCTGAATCACATTCGGTTCTTGGGGAAAACTTGAAACCACATATTCCTTATATATTCCCTTTAACTTTTCTTCAATCTCAAACAGCGAGATGGCTGAATCATCTACATCTGTCGCTTCTATCATCTATCAGGCGTAGAAGTTTTATGCAAATTGTTTTCCAAATAACTTTTCCAAAGAGTGAAAAAAAAGAAAAAAGAAGAGAACAGACACTATTGAGCAAAGCGAGATGGTTTCGGTGTAGTCAGTGCTGCTCCACTATTGAGCAAAGCGAGATGGTGTCGGTGTAGTCAGTGCTGCTCCACTTTCGAGCAAAGCTACAAAGTGTTGTAACAAGCTACAAAGTGCTTGACATGTAAAACTGATGAGCTCTAGCGCATACCGAAACAAATAAACTCAATTGATCTTTGGCTGTAGTTTAGTGCGTGGGCAACTTTTAATGATATAGAAGACAGCGTAGAAATAGAGGATAAGGTGAAAGTAGAGGTTGTATAACGATGGCTGTAGAGTTTGGAGGAGTGCCGATATTGTTGATAGTTTCACTAGTCACTCTTGCTCGATAGTGTAAATTGGTAGAGGGTATCAAGTGAGATGGAGTAAATACAAAAGGCGGAGCCAAAAGTGGTGTTGCTGTAGAAATATTGCAAAAGTAGCGCAGGATGTAAACACTAGTGTCGTCTATGGTTTCGCTATTTGTAGGAATCGGAGAAGATGATCCGTGTATATGTATTTAATTGCATTTAGTTAAAGCACCTTCAATACGGCCTGAATCTTTTCTTCTCCCTCATTAATCTCACTTTCTCTTGATCCGCCTTAAACTTGTTCAACAATTCATTCATTTCCTCCTTTTTGCGTTGTCTCAATTGAAATCTATAAAAATCCGGTTTTTCATTCTTCTTTGATTTCTTTTGAGCCTTTTCACTCTCTATGGTCTTGGTTAATTTCTGCTTGCCCAATACACCGGCTTTCGTCTTTCTATGAGATCCAACTACCAACGTGAACCCATCTTCATCAACTAGATTAGCCTGTGCCTGTAGATTCTCGATACTCTCCTTCTCGGCCCTATCGAAATCACTCAAAGCCTGAGCCACTTGTTCTGACAATTTTTCATTATCTAGCATTAGCAGCTGGTATTGTGTAAGGTAGTATGAAGATGATACAAATTTGATTGGCCATATCGACTGTGATAGTGGTGGTGAAGAAAAAGAAGAAGAAGAAGATGATGATAGTGAAAGCTTCTTTAGCGCATTGAATGCAAGTTGGAAAGAAGCCTTGTCTATAAAAGTCACTATTGCCGAGTTTTTCGGTAATCTGCTTGCAACTTCATCTATTGTGTTTGCAGATAAGTCGGAGGTTAGTTTAGACAAATTAACCCAAGCATCCTCTTCACAACTTGTGAGATACGACTCGGTATAGTTTTCTATAGTTGCGCCCAAAGCTACACTTTGAAAATATTTCCTTATAGTTGCCAAATCACTCAATATAGGTAAATTGCACATGAACAAAGACCTGTGGCTACCATCACCACCACCACCATCATTTCCACTATTCTTGACATCGTGTTTCTTGAAATATATATAGTGCTTTGAGTTGCAATCCTCTATTGTCACAGGTAAAACGTAAAACCCTTTAATTTCTAATAGCTGTCCCATTTCTCCTTGCCTCTTTTACCTCCTTTCCCTTCTATCGGCGAGCCTTGCCTCTAAATCCTCTTTCCAATAAAATGAAAAGTTTGCTCTATAACCTATTGATATTAAATCATCGATGCTTTTGGTAGTGTGAATTTGCATCAAAAAAAAATCTTTTTTTTTTTTGGTCTCTTTGTATTATGAAAATTTTTTTGTATGGTGCCTTTCTACGTAGTAGTTTTTAGATTAATACAAGCAATAGATTAAAAAGGTTTTGCAATACCGCGGATAAAGGTAAGAGGAATTGACTTTAATTTGCTAAAGAGGCCGCTTTTAACTGAAGAGCTGATTACTTACGGCTTGTTTTTCTAAAGAGCTGTTGACTAGGGAGCTGCCATTGACTAGGGAGCCGCCATTGACTAGGGAGCCGCTATTGACCAAGAAGTCGCTGTTAATTAGGGAGCCTCTTTTCATTTGAGGAGCTGCTATTGACTAGCCTGTTACAACACCATCTCGCTCTGCTCGATAGTGTTGCAGCATTCAAAGTTAACCAAATGGATAAGGAATCCTTATTGAAAGCGCTTGAGGGAACTCTCGATCCCAACAAGCATGTTAGAAATTCAAGTGAACAAACACTACATGTATACGAACAACAACCTGGTTTTACTAGCTACTTGTTGGATTTGATATGCGAAGAAGCAGTTCAACTTGGAACACAGATTTCTGCAGCCATTTTTTTCAAGAATAGAATTAGCAACTATTGGGTCTTGTCTGAATATACTAAACAACTGTCGGCATGTTTCATACTGGAAAATGAAAAAGCAACAATTAAGGAAAAATTGGTAACAACCTTGATCAAAACACATAACATATCCCAAGTCAAGTCTTCACTAACAACGGCGTTGAGTAGCATTTTAAGCTATGACAAGTGGGATAATATTATACCGCTAATAACCCGCTTGCTTACCTCACAGGATAAAGATCAAATATTCACAGGATTGATAGTTCTCTACGAATTAGTGAAAAGTTATAGATGGACCGGTACAGAAGCAAAGAATTTTGTCAATCCAGTCATGGAAGACGTGACACAACAGGTGTTTCCCTTGATCGAATCCATGGCAAACACACTCGTGGAAAGCGACAGCAGCAATAGCGCAAGCGATGAAATGCTTTACCTTATTGTAAAGACGTTTAAAAACGCAACGTATTCGAGTTTGCCTTCATATTTCCAGGATGCAAGTAAATTGGGTCTGTGGTGCCAAATACAACTCATGATTATAAACAAACCATTGCCCAAAGAAGTGCTAGAGGAGGACATGGTTGAGCAACGTGTTACTAACCTCAGAGTAAAAACGGTCAAATGGTGCTTTGCCAATATAAACCGTTTGATCAATAAGCATGGTGGTGGAATATTATCTGCAAAAAGTGACCCTGAGTTCATATCAGTATTTTTGACCAACTTTGTTCCTCAGATATTAAATGCTTACTGGGAAATCATCGAAGATTGGGCATCGAAAAAGATGTGGTTGAGCCCAGTATCCATGTACTATATGATTTCATTTTTGGAACAAGTTATTGAAACTCCTTGTTGGCCATTAGTAAAAGAAAAATTGGACGCAATCATTAAGCATCTTATACTACCATCGCTACAAGCCAGCAAAGAGAATATAGAGCTATATGAAGATGACCCTCTTGAATACGTTAGACGGTTTTTTGACGTTAATCGTGAGCAAAAAACCGGCGATGTTGCATCGATCAATTTCATCCACAGATTAGCAAATAAAAAACTTAAAGAGACGATAGCCCTTTTATTTGGCATAGCTAACGATATCTTTGTTGAAAGAATGAATAATCGTGAAAACATTGAAAGCGCTATGAAGACAGAGGGAGCTTTGAAAATATTATCAACGATATCTTATAGATTAGATGATCACAGCTCTACTTGCCATGGGCAAATAGATAAAGTGTTGGATACTTTTGTTACCCCGGAATTATTAGAGGAGCAATCAAGTAAAACTCCGTGGCTAACTGCAAGAGCTTGTGATACCATTGCCATGTTTCAAACTCATCACTATGAGGATGTTGGCGTTTTACATAACATTTTCCAAGGCATTATTAGATGTTTTCAGGACGAATCTCAATTCCCGATTCAATTGACTGCTGCCGATGCCCTTGCTACCTTAGTTAACGAGGTACCAGTGGCAGAACAAGTAGCGTCTCAGGCGCCACAATTAATGGAGAACTTGTTAGAAAAATCAAAAAAGTATGAGAGCGATATTCTCACAAATGTCATGGACACGTTTGTGGAAAAGTTTGCTAAAAACTTGGAGCCTTACGCTGTAGAACTTGGAACAAAGTTGGCAAACCATTTTATTCTTATAGGCAATGAAATTTTGGAGCTGCAAAGCTCAGGGCGTATTGATGAGGACAAAGAGTTGCAAGCGGGCGGAATACTAAATACGTTAACAACTTTGGTGATATCCATGTCAAATGCAAAAGAAATCGGACAACCTTTAGAGCAAGTCTTGAGAGAATTGATAGTTTTTGTTATTGAAAATGCCATGGTGGTATTTTTAACTGATGTTGTAGAAATTTTAGAATCTTTACTACACTTGAGGAATGAAGTATCCGATATCATGTGGTCTATTTTTAAGGCTGTTCTTGAAGCCTTCGACACGTATGCTCTTGAATACTTTGACCAGTTGCAACCCTTTTTCACAGGAATCATTAACAAAGGATTCACTAATCCACAAATCACTATGGAGAACCCCTTTGTTCAATCTTTGATAAATGTGTGTCTTAATGTGTTAAAAGAAGAAGAAACCGATCTGGTTTTTGCACACTTGGCATTTGAAGACATTGAGTTGACTATTTTGGCGATGAACACAAGGATAGCTTCCTTTATACCAAAAGTGTTGCCGGAAATCTTTGACATTTACAACAAGCTAGATGCGCAAGACGCATTTGACGGATGTATGTTGCATCGATTATCGTTGTTGAGGATTTTGTTTGCCTGTGTATACATTGACCCGATGGCTACTATACAGCTTATTTCAGCAAAGGCCTTTTTGATTGAGTTTTTCAAACTATGGATACAGTATACTGATGATTTCCAAAGTGTGTATGGTTGTAAGTTGCAGTTGCTATGCGCCATGGCCATAATCAAGAGTGATGCGATTAAACGAATACCAGAGGACTTGGTTGGAGAAACTGTGGATTTGTTGCTTGGGAACCTTACAGCTTTGCCAAATGCAATCAAAACGAAAAATGCCATCTTGATGAATGAAACTAGTCAAAAAGAGCAGATCAATAATATCATCGAAGAGGGTAATGACACTGATAAGTACGAGGAAATCGCGGGGATTCAAGACGAGTACGAGCTAGACGAAGCTGAAATGGAGGCATTGAAGGAAACTCCAATTGACAAGATGAATGCATTTGAAGAATTTGTAGATATGTTCCTTTCACTAAAACAAGGAGACCCTGAAAAGTATAAAGTTTTATTTGACGATTTGAACGATAGCAAAATAGAGCTCATAAATGGTTTAATTAAAGTTACCCAGGCCCACTAACCAAGATACTCATTCTCAAAGCATCTACCCAACTATTAATAATGATATAAATATACTTCATCCTTCTATATATGCAACTGGTAGCAAATTGTCTGCTACCTCCCGTAGACTTTTTTTTCTTCTTCTTTGTTCTAAAAAGAATTCAAGTAACTGGGATTTACTTGATTTGATTCTAGTAATTGATTTGATTGCTTTGGTAAGTTTGGATTGATTGATCTGTTACCAACAAGTACAAAGGAAGTTGAATGTTTTCCAACTTTGGATCCTCCATGTTTGGGGGTGGCATTCCCAGTTTTGGGATGCCTATGAACAATAAGTTTGAAGAATATTTCCGATGTTATCCCATAGCCATGATGTCAGATATGATTCGTAAGGATGATGCAAACTACGGAGGCAAAATCTTTCTTCCGCCATCGGCTTTGAACAAATTGACTATGCTACATATAAGATATCCCATGTTGTTTGAGCTCACGAATGAGCAAGGGAATTTAACTACGCATAGTGGTGTTTTGGAGTTTACGTCTGAAGAAGGAAGGTGCTATATACCGCAATGGATGATGAACACTTTACAACTACAGCCTGGAGGGTTGATAAAAATCAGCAACTGTGATTTGCCATTGGGTAAATTTGTCAAGATTGAGCCCCAAAGCGTTGATTTCTTGGACATCACTGATCCAAAAGCTGTATTGGAAAATGTTTTGAGAAAATTCTCAACACTTAGTGTCAATGATGTGATTGAAGTGAATTATAACGATAGCATATATGGTATAAAAGTATTAGAGGTGAAACCTGACAGTACTAATCGTGGTATTTGTGTTGTGGAGACTGATTTGGAAACCGATTTTGCCCCACCTGTAGGGTATGTTGAGCCCGAATTTACCCCAAAAAGCACAACTTCTTCAAGTCAGCAGCAGCAGCAGCAGTCTATAAATTCGACCAGTGTCAACCAGGGAGCAGGAGCTGCAACAATGGCAAAGTCTATAAATTATGCTCAAATCGTTAGCGATGCAGTAAATGGAGGCTCGAAATTTAGTGGATCAGGGCAGAAGTTATCAGGGAAAAAAATTGAAAATGATCGGTCCTCAAAGGTATACAAGGTGGATGATTTGGATTTAAACGCGCCTCCTGTGCCCTTGACGCTTCCAGAAAGTCAATTGTTTTTTGGGTTCCCGGTTGTGCTTCCTACCCAGGAAGAAATCAATGACGAGACAAAAGAACAAGCGAAAAGAGAGCAAGTGTTTATTGGGTCAGGTCAGTCGCTCCGACAAAGCAAAAAACGCAAAGACAAAAATACAAATCACCTTTCGTTGAAAAATCACGAAAGAAGTCCGGATGTAATAGAAATTGATTAAATTATTGTCAGCATTCTAAATTTTCTCCATCTCTCCCTCTTTTCCTCTTCCTTTCTCCCTCTTTTCCTCTTTTCCTCTTCCTTTCTCCCTCTTTACTTGTTTTTTATTTACTCTTTAGTTGTTGAAGGAAGAAAGACATCATTTCCTTGCTCTTCTGCCTTCTTCTGGTGGTACACAATATCAGTTGATTCCCAAGGATAAGCAATCCAACAATCGGGCACAGTTCTAGCAGCAAAATAGTTTCCCGTCTTCATAATATCATCTGGTAAATCTGCCTTTTTTGTCTTCTTTTTATCATGCAAGACAAATATACCAAATTTAGTATCCTTTGGATCAGCATTTTTAGCTTTTGCTTGCTCTTCAACATCTTTCTTCAATTCCGATACGGCATAATGTAAAGTGGTTCTAGTGTCATCCACTTCATCAATAATCAAAATATTCTTACCAACCAAATCAACTTTGGATTGATTATAATCAATCCATTGTGTTCTCACTACTTGAGTACCTGGTTTTTCCTCTATTCCGTCTGAATTCACCACTTCCTCATAAAGAGACAAGATAATTGCCATAATTCTTACATTGGGCTGACCGGGCTCTTTCAAGAATGAACGCAACATCCTAGCTGGAATGAACCCTCCACCACCAATAGCAATGATCAAGTCTGGGTTAAATTGTTTAATTTTGTCAGCAGATTCTTGACATAACTGGTGTATGTTGTTGTACGATATGTACATCTTATCGTCCGCCATTATTGCCTACCTTCTAAAAGTTAAATATACAGAGAGAGCTTATACAAGAAGTACCCCTGAAGAAGAGTTTCGGGAAATGAACTTGATATCTTATTCAATTGAAAAAAAAAAAAAGAAAAGAAAAACTTTGTTCTTTTGTGCTCTGCTCTCCAAGAAGCGATGAGATGTCAAAGGATTAGGACCCCCAAAATGGTATACCAAAGCGAGGAAAATCATACATAGGGAAATAGACTTTTTAAGGTCTAACTTGTATGAGTTGTTTGTAGAGCTCGAGATAGTAGTAGGTGGGTACTTGAAATCTGATTCAAGCAACACCTATCACCTCCAACATCCATGTCAAAAATTTCGCAGCCAAAAAAATTAAAGTTTAAAAGCACAAAGTGATTATTACTACTACTACTACTACAATATAAACTAAAAACAATGGCCGGGACAAAAAAGAGTATCAATCGGCAAAAGGTATATGTCTTCTCCATTGAATCAAGCTAGCAGCAATAACTTGTCTGTAAAAAGATTCTCTTCTATAACTAATGTCAAACTGATATTCTGTTCTCAAGACATCTGCAATTACTTTCCTAAATTTCCTACTGAATCCATTATACTCAAACTTATTCACAATCCATACAGTATAGTTGTTATTGAAAATATCTCCAAACAATACTTTCAATTGCAACAACATCTCTTCATTAACTTCATCGTTTAGTGCCAAATAATCGTTTGTAAAAGGCAATGTCGCGTGCATTTTATCAAATTGTAAAAGGAACAAGTTTCTTATATCCTGGTTTTTCGAACGTTCATGCAAGATTTCCATGTACTTGCAAAATTCCAACTCTTGCTGAACAGCGGTGGTCAATAGCAATTCAAACTGCTTCTTAATTCTGACGGGTAAGCTTTGTGATTGAGAAAGGATTCCAAATCCATTAATTTCCTTCGGACGGTATTGAACGGGGATATTGGGCAATTGTGTTAAAAACTCATCCAGGGACAAGGTGGATCCCAACTCCTCCGAGTCAGTGCTTTTTATTGTATCTGGGTGTATTCTACCCTGTATAAAGTCACTAGGATAAAGCCAAGACTTGATAGATGCAAGTAGAACCTTGCGGTTTAATCTCATGATTTTTCTAGATTCAGGGGAACAAGAAGAAGCATCAGAGTGCTGACTGCAAGCACTACCTCCACTGTGATAGCAATGCGAAGCCATTGATGTATTTTTTAAAGAAGGTTGCTCCTTAGTATTCAAGTTCAAGCCTTGAACCTTCTTTTTGGCCTGCTTTATATCAACCTCATCGACATTTTTGATGCGCGAACTAATTGATTGACCTGCAATGTGTTGGCATTTTTCGCCTTGAGGTTTAGCATCATTATTGGGCAATATCTTTGAGTTACTGTCCTCAGATTTCGTGTCCTCCGCAGCGCAATTGCTTGCACAATTGCCTTGTTGTTGTTGTTGTTGTTGTTGTTGTTGTTGTTTAGATGGAGGTGCATCCAGTAACGGGTCCTTTTCAACTAAAGTATCCTGAGTACCAACTTTTGCTGGATCATAAGTAGCTGCTTGTGGTGTCTTGGTATCCAATGAAAATTCATCAACAGCTAGCTTTGTTTGATGTTGAATCTTGCTCAATTTTTCCCCCGTGGAGAATGTTTCGTCCTTGCTAATACTCTGTTCAGTAATAATATTTGACATCTTTTCTTGCCACAAGACTTTTTTTTTTTCCTGGTAGTTTTCTTTTGTTCCAAAAGATCAGGAAAGAAACATTTTGTTATCCTCTTTCATTTACCCCTATTTATACCACTTTGTTCTCAATTGGTATAACAAAATACCGTTTTAATTTGACCAAAGGACGTTGTGAAGAGGGAAGAAGAAATCTTTTTTTGCAGCTATTGAGATCGCGCGCTACCTCACATAACAAGTTTTCAAGGCATCACTAACAAAACTCAAATTTTGTTACGCTTTGTTAAAAAAAGTGAGTAAGTGAAAAAAGAGAGTGAAAAATGGAAGAGGAAGAAGAGTCTTGGTGAAACCCACATCCAGGTGTTCCAAAAGCATCCAAGAAAGTTCACTCCAAACTCTATCTACTTCCTCTTCGCCTGGTGTCGCACTTCTGGCCTCCGCGCCAACAAAAAATCAGTAATATTTTTTAAATGAATTACTGCTTTTGGTAAAAGAATTTGGAACCATTGACATTTTGTTTAGTGGTGTACGACATTATCATAATGTAACTTTAAAAACCCCGTAGTTGGCTAAAACGTAATGTACAACAACAACCAAGTGTTGCCCCACTAGGGAGCGAAGCGAGCTAATGGAGTTGGAGATAATGTTGCAAGTGTTGCCCCACTAGGGAGCGAAGCGAGCTAATGGAGTTGGAGATAATGTTGCAAGTGTTGCCCCACTAGGGAGCGAAGCGAGCTAATGGAGTTGGAGATAATGTTGCAAGTGTTGCCCCACTAGGGAGCGAAGCGAGCTAATGGAGTTGGAGATAATGTTGCAAGTGTTGCCCCACTAGGGAGCGAAGCGAGCTAATGGAGTTGGAGATAATGTTGCAAGTGCTGCCCCACTAGGGAGCGAAGTGAGCTAATGGAGTTGGAGATAGTGTTGCAAGTGCTGCCCCACTAGGGAGCGAAGCGAGCTAATGGAGTTGGAGATAGTGTTGCAAGTGTTGCTCCACTAGCTCGCCTCGATCCCTAGTGGGTATGGAGCTTCTCTAAAAGAAGAAACTTTTCAGTTTATTTTGTCAAAACAATTAAGCTTTCCCTTGTTGAAAAACAATGAAACACATTGTGTAGTTTTTCAGGCCTCCCCCACGACTTTCTTGCCGCAAATCGAGTAAGGAAAACGACATAACGACATTTACTTAGCGCTGAAACACAGGCAAAGAGAAGAAATCTGATACGTAAGCACCACCAGCGAAAAAATCAATACTGGATAATAGTTTTTCACTTTATTAAACATCAAACAAGAGGAGTAGAAAAATACAAGAAAGGTTTTGGCTAAGGACAAGCAGGTTTTGCTAAGGACAATTAGATTTGGTTTTTATCTAATCTAGGCTTATTTTCACAAAAGAAACGATGGTGTTGAGAACTAAAAGTGTTGTTCTTTGCCTCTGGCTAGCCGCATTGGCAATCGCTGCTATTGTAGGTGTTGATTTTGGCACACAATTTACCAAGAGTTTCTTACTTGCACCAGGTGTCCCTTATGAAATAATACTCACGGATCAGGGTAGTAGAAAGGAGAGTTCAGGCGCTCGTCTACAGTTGGACAATCTTGACCTTGACCTTGACAATTTCGAGTCGATATATGAATCTCAAATGATCCCATTTGCTATGCAGCTCAATGATATAAAAGCTCGTGCTTTGCAAAACACCGGTAATAAGGTCAGCCCGGTGATCGATATTGCTGTTAGTATCCCTGCATATAGTTCACAAGCTATGAGGCAGCTTTACTTGGATTCTATGAGCTTGGCTAACGTCTCAAGTGTTTTGGGATTAGTTGAAGATGGTACTGCTGTAGCGCTCAATTTTGTTAACAATAGGGAGTTTGAAAATGAAGAAAAAAAGTACTATTTAGTCTATGATGCTGGCGCAGGCCCCACTGTAGCGACTTTGTTCTCAGTGAAACAAGTCAATGGACAAAAGGTTTTGGAAACTGAAAGTATGGGATATGATGAATCTTTGGGAGGAAGAATATTGACAAATTCGGTGTACGAGATTATATTGGAAAAACTCTTGAATCATTTTCAATTGGATACAATCTCGGAAAAGGCTTCGGCAAGGTTGCTTGAGGTTGCAGAGAAGGCAAAGATCATTTTATCTGCAAACACCGAGTACAGGACTATAGTGGAAACCATTGTTGGCGATGAAGATTTCAGAGTGCACGTTACAAGACAGGAATTTGAGGATATAAATTCTGATTTGATGCAATGCATAACCTTACCAGTTTTGGATGCATTAAAGAAAAGCGGTAAACACGTGGATGATCTTGAAGCGGTAATTTTAAACGGTGGTTCTACAAGGATTCCATTTGTTCAAAAACACATCTCGCTTCTTTTGGGCGAAGACAAAATCTCCAAATCAGTCAACACTGACGAAAGTTGTGCTTTGGGAACTACACAGAGAGGATTGCTATTAAAATTAAAGACTTCTAAGGACGTGAAACTTATCGATAAAGTATATCACAATTTTGAAATCAGTATCAATGATGCCGATGAACTGGTTTTTATTTTTAAAGAAGGTTCTGTTGCAGGAAACAGCACAACTGTAACACTAAATGCTACTGATGACTTTTCAATCAACTTGTACGAAGATGGCTCCCTTATCAAATCTTATGAAATAAGTGCCATTGATACAGCAATAAGTTGCGGATCCAATAAAAAAGAAATATTAGCGACATTTGAGTTGGACGAGAATAAAATGTTTGATTTAGTTCGGATTGAGGCTCAATGTCAAAAGAAGAAGAAGAAGAAGAGGTCATTTTTCAAAGATATGTTGAAGGAAGATGAAGAAGCTGAAGTAGTTGAGGGAGAGACTGAAGGAGAGGGCGAGGCAGAGGCAGAGGCAGAGGGTAAGGCAGAGGCAGAGGGTAAGGCGGAGGCAGAGGGTAAGGCGGAGGCAGAGGAAAAGAGAGAAGGCCTCAATGCTACTAGTACTGACAACAAAGCCAAACCAAAAAAACGGAAGGTGAATTTGGCTTCCATTCCGATCCCAACTGCAAAGTATCCACATTTCAAACCAATTAACAGAACAACCAAAAAATCGTTACTTGACAAGATTGCACATTTGAATAAGTTGGAGGAAGAAAAATTGAAATGGCAAGAGGCAAGTAACAAATTGGAGAGCATGTTGTATGAGCTTCGAGAGTTTATTGAAACTAACGAGGAGAAATTGCTTGAGGAATTATCTCAAGAACAGTTGAATGAATACTTTTCCTTTGTTGGTGATTTAATTGAATGGTTAGACTTTGAAAGTGACGATGCAACAATTCTGGACTTGGAGGCCAGAATAAGTGAGGTTACTGAGAAAGACACGGAGGTAAAGAAATACATTAAAATGTTATCGGTTGATTTATCCAGGAAAGGTATGGAGAAGCTATATGAGGATGGTACCAATTTGATTATGACTATTCAAACGGGTATGTTGCAGTTTGGCGATCAAGTTTCTGAAATGAGGAAAAAATATGAAGCTGCCAATTTTGATTTTGAAAAGGAGAATAACCGAATCAAATCAAAATTGATTGACCAAGACGATCATATAATGTCGTTTGATAGGAACTTGGAGGAATATAAAGAGTTAATGAGCAAGATTGACGAGTTGAACAAAATTCCTGATGAGGATTTTGACAAAATAGACAAGAAAGAGTTATTTGCCTTCCAGGATATGTTGGCCAAGGGGGTCAGCGAGATGTTACTTGATGTAGTGAAACTAGAGTCAACCCACAAGGAACGTATGACGTTGTTTGAAGAGCAATACGAGAAGTTACTTGCAAGAGAACAACAAAAGGCGTATAGAAAGAAATTGAGAGAAGCGGCTAAGGAGGCAGAGAATAAACAAAAGGAGACTGCAGCTGTGGAAGAAGAAGAGCTTGACTCGAGTCTGAAAGCAGATTCAGTTTCTTCAACCGAGTCGGCTAAAACTATTTTTTCAACCGAGTCAACTGAAACAATTGAACCAGCTTCAACTGAACCAACTTCAACTGAACCAGCTTCAACTGAAACAGCTTCAACTGAACCCTCCGCTTCTTCCACCTCGCCCTCAACTGAAATCTTGCATGACGAGTTGTGATATAGAGAACATGTACAGTATATATATATATTCGCATAGAAAGCATAAAAAGTAGACCCTTTAGTATATACATAAAAAATGCTTGTAGAAAATACAGAGAGAGAAAAACAAAAAAAAAAAGATGAGCAGGAAAGAGCTGGTAATTATGAAGTAGAAATCAAATTCACCATAACCATCGAAAGAGTTTCAGTATGTCGACAACTCCGCCTGCGAGAGAGCTTTCGAGGAAGAGGAACTTGGATGATACTAACGATGACCTATCAGCGAGGTCGGCTCGTTCAATAAGGTCAAGAGATCTGTCTTATAACACTTCGTACTGGGCATCAACAGGACAGCCGAATAGATCACACCACACCAATGGTGGACCACATTTTCACCATCAGAATCAGAGAGGGGGCTATGTGAATCAAGACAACGGGGCGTATTATAGGGATCGTGGTAGAGAGAGATACGTATCTGGAGGATCACAACAGTTTAGGCAAGGAGGACATCGTCGCAACGACAACTACGAAAGAGGTGGGTATAATGAAAGAGAAAGAGAAAGAGAAAGAGAAAGAGAAGGAGAAAGGGAGCGGTATCCACCACGAAGACAGGTATATGATAACAACCGGGCAGGATCCAACCATCATTTGCCGCCCCCTTTGAATGCTTCTGCTTCTAAAGCTGAGCCACCAGTGATGGAGAAAAAGACTAAACTGATGGTGGAGGATGAGATCAAGGAGTTGGAGGCGGTGTTGAAAAAACTTGAAAATGTGCCTTCAATAGATGATATCAAGGTTATTGACTCTAGATGGGGTATCAAACCTAAAGGGTTTGAGCAAGTAAGTGCACCAAGAGCCAAGTTGTCGGGATTATTTCCCTTACCAGGGTTCCCAAGACCAGTTGACTTTACAAAGTTGGAGGGTTTAATTAAAGACAGGCTAACAAACAGGAACGATATATTAAACGAAACTTCTAAAATCGATCCTGTAGATTCTCGTGTTGCTAAAACATTGATTATCAATAACATAGAAGAGATTAACTACTTGAAGATTGTTGAGTTTTTTAATGACTATTTGAAAATGATAGATTTTGAACAAGGCTCTACCAATAACATACACAGCAAAAGGAAGCTTAATGATGAAAAAACATTGATTATTGAATTCAACAACAGCGAATGTACAACTATAATATTTGCATTAAATGGAACTCAATTATTGTTCAATGCTTATAAGCGAGATGACGTCTCCAGGAAAGAAGTGAATGAAAAGTTTAAGTTACAGATTAGTCGACCTAAAGAATATGTTGTCCAGGATGAAGGATTAAACAACAACAACAATAATAATAATAATAATAATAGTAGTAATAAGGAAAGGAAGGAAGAGGACGAAGAGGACGAAGAGGTGCTTGAAACAGTTTCGGAAAACCCACGAAAGATATCATTAGTCATTGCTTCTAGTGCTACTTCAGATTACGTAAGGGAAGAACTTGTGAAAAATATAGCACCTCTACGAGGTATGCGCTATTATAGGCAAAAGGGAACAAAGGAGCCTCTTGGTTTGGTATTTGTTGAATTCAAAAGGGAAGTGGAGGATGTTTTGAGTAAGCTCAAAAACTTACCATTTGTGGAGAACGCCTCGTTTGCTTGTCTTGGCAGTGCTACTCCAATCCAGCAAGGTACGATTGATTATTATACGTTGCCCAAGCTCGTTTGTAATGAAACAGTTCAACCTCATATCAAATCAAATGTGATACAACTAATTAATGTGCTATCGACGAAGGATTTACTCAATGATGGCGAAATTGCATTGATTGCTGAAGATGTAAGAGACGAAGCAAGTAAATACGGTAAGGTGGTTTCGATGAAGATACCAAGACCTGTGAATGATTTAGCACCAGGTTTCCAACATTTCAAAACGCCAGGTTTAGGAAAAATCTTTATTGAGTATCAGGAAAAAGAGTCTGCTTTTCAAGCAATAATGGAGCTTTCTGGAAGACTGTACAATGACAGAACAGTTTTGGCCACGTATTTTGATTGCGATGATTATAGAAAGGGTTTGCTATAGATAAAGTGTTTGCATAAAGTAACGTGTAATGCAAGTTTTCTCTCAATATATATATATATATATATTGATGTATGTATTTGTATTTGTAAAAGACGGGAGCTATATTGGATTTTCATTCAAGAATAACTTTAATTTACCTGGGACAGTCTTGTCGAATCCATGTCTCGCAATAAGTTCATACAATTTTTTCGGTAGTTCAGGAATAAAACTCAAGCTTAGTTTGATAATTTCGTTTTCTTCTAAATTGGGAAAACTTCTTAATATTTTCATTGGTTGTTGTGATTGAAGTATAGATGATCGACTAATGATCAATTGTGCCACTATGAACAATATATTCATATGAAATCCATAAGCGAATAAAAAATCCCACAATTTGAGCACGGCTTTTAGTGGAGGAGTACATGCGCTTAAGGTGAGGACTGATGGGAAAGCAAAGATTTCAGGTTTCAAGAATTTTGAATCTAGGAAATCACTCAAGACGGGGTCAATAATTTTCAAAACAACGTCAACCAAGCTCAACCCCGTGTGAACACCATCCAAATTGGGCGTTATATACAAGGGTATATGGACTGTAACCAATGTGTGAAGCAAAGCAAATGCTTGAGGTTCGCTTTTATGGCAACAATATGCAATAGGCGCAAGCAAAACGTTTAGACCTTGAACATAGCCAACTTTTGTGGTAATTCCAATACATGACAATATTCGAATAAGCAGGTCTTCTGAAACTTTTTGATGGAATTTTTGATCATTCATTAGTGTTCTAAAAGTATCATTTTTGATTTTAGTCAATAGTTCTGCTGAAATAGTTTGTTCCAGTTCAGCTAGCAAGCTCACATAATCCTTCGTTGGAAATGTCGGAGTTCGACTCAATATTGACCACACATAAGACCTATATGGACATTGGTCATAACCTTCAGGTATTGATAAGCCTTCGATTAAAATCGTATAACGGAGCTGCGACAAACTATTGTCGAGAAATAGCTGTGAGCAGCCAATAAATTGCTCTATAGAATCCTTCTTTCTTCCTTTTAGATGGTCATGTCTCTCTTGATGTTCCATTACCTCCCTTGATCTCTTGAAATAAAATTACAAGATTTGAATTTTTCAAAGATGGATTTAATATCTTGCTTGTTTATTCTTTTTCTCTTTTAGGCTTTTCGCAGCTAAAAAAAAAAAGAAGAAATCGTTTGGCGAGAAACAATCTTTACGTAGGGCGACACGTCGAGGCAGGTAAAGAAAAAAAAAAACAGGAGATTTCAGGGCGAGAACAAACTCGCTATGAATGTATCAACCAACAAACAAAGCAACAAAGCAATAAAACAATTATGTAATGAGACCCGTTTTTTTTTTCTATTATCTTTGGTATCAATATCACGTGACACTATTTTTTTTCTCATCCGCAAAGCGAAAAAAGAGACAAGGAAAAACCAGCAATATAGCTAAAATTGAATTGTAAGTAACAAGATTTGTGTAAATCTAAGGCAGGCAGGCACCCATCATTTCTTCACCTTTGTAGCATATCATGTTTGGTTTGGGAAAATTGTTATACGTTATTGTTTTGACGATTAATGGGATAGCGGTGCTAAGTGAAGATAGGTTTTTAAACAGGATTGGATGGGGCTCAACTACAGCATCATCAAATGTCAATGCCAATATACAGAATCAGTTTAACCAGTTCAATTCGGGTCTAGAGACAAGTGAAGGGTCTATAAAGACTAAGTTGATTAATCTAATAAGTGCTGTAAGGACTTTGATGCGGATACCATTAATAGCTGTTAACATTACGGTTATATTGTACGAGTTGATACTAGGTTAATAGGAGAAGGTGACAGAAAGAAAAGGGAAAAAGGGAAAAGGAAAAAGGAAAAAGGAGAGTAAGTAAGGGATAGATAAATCTATCATCGTTATCTTTGTACTTTGTATATTGCTGTGCTATTTTTCCTCTTGCTTTAAATCGTGCGTTGGCGAGCCCGACTGGCTCTGAAGACGATCCCTAGATTTCTTAAACAACTCTTCCTGTTGTCTCAAAAGCTCTTCTTCGCTCAATCCCGAGTTTTGAAACTTATTGTTCCGTTTCTCTTTTCCTTTCAACAACTCCTTTTGTTCTTTTAGTATCTTGTTTATTATTTCGAGATAATTGTTGAAATCTAGTTCTTCTAATGCCTTAACCACATGGTCTGATGCTATTGTTTTCTTTGCCTCTTTTTCTGCTATATCATTCAGCTGCGTAGAAAGCATCATTATAAACTCAATACTGCATTCTGTTATTGCTTCTCTTGCTTCTTTCGATATCGCAATATCTTTGGGTAAGATCTCAGCTATAATTTTCTGCACAGTTGCCCTTGGAAGGGATAAGTCTTCGGCACTCGATGTGGGATAATCCGACATTACAAACAGTGCACAATACGTCTAAATGGATAACGGAGTCAAACAATTATGATGATGACTTCTAACTAGATGTATCAGCGCGAAACAAGTAATTTGTTTTTTTTCTATTGCATTTTATTTAGGTGTAACTTTTTTATATTTTTTTTGCACTAAGAAAGAAATGTGATGAGTATAGGGGTGTGATAAGTAAGAAGTGTGATAAGTAAGAAGTGTGCTAAGTAAGAAGTGTGATGAGAATAGTAGTGTAATGTGTAAAGTATGATGTGTATAATGTGTAAATCAAAGCTATCTATCTTCTACGATTCTACGTACTTCTTCCTCCGACATCTTCATATCAGGTTGAATAAATCTCATCAAGAGATATACAAATTCGAAAGGCTTCTCTTGGGAAACCCAATGTCCACAATCCAACTCTTTAAATTGGATGTTTGTAAAATATTCATGAAATAAACCGAAATCTTTAGTTGTCACAAAGTCTGACTTTTTGCCATGAATAACCAAAACAGGATCTTCATATTTTTCAACTGACAAGTCTGGCCATTCCCCCATCGCGCCAATTACATCATTCTTCCAAAAATTCATTACTGGAATTTTAAACAATTCTTTAACCTTATTCTTGACATGGATGTTTGTAAGATCCTTACGGTTAATTAGCAAGTTGCTCATTACTAGTTCTCGAAGGTTCTTATCCTCGATGTATTGCTCAAGAAATTCGTCAATCTCTTTTATCTCGGTAACCCTTTCCACTTGACTTCTTTGCTTAAACTTAAACGCAATCTTTTCAGCTTCACACATACCCAATAAAGCATTGGTAAACTTATCTCCCAATGGCATTGACCGTGGAGAATTGTCAACAACAACCAACATCTCCACAAGTTGCGGGTATAGCAAGCTCACAAGCATAGCTACTTTAGCCCCCATCGAATGACCAACCAAAATACACAGTTCCCATTCCCGCTCCTTTATAAAATTATAAACATCATGAGCCATCTGCAAATATGTATGAGGAAGAACGTGAGGAGACTCTCCGTGATTACGCAAATCCACCGCATAAGCTGGCAGAAGAGTTATCTCGCTCAACTTACGTGCTACTTTGTTGAAACTCAACTTAGAGCCAAATAAACCATGAAGAAATAAAATTGGCGTTTTAGTTTCCACTGGTTTAACTTTATACGGTTTCAATTGTTTCCATGCAAGACTGATATTTTCTGCATATGGCAACTCCGGAATAGATTTAGTATCAAAGCTAGGCAGCCTGGCAACTCCTCTTATACATCGCCAACTTCTAACACATATTTGTACTCGAAAAACTGATTGAGGTAGTACCAACATCATCACAAGAGAAAGTTGAAAAAAAAAAAAAATAAATAAAAGCCTTTCACAAACCATTAATATTTCTCTCTCTCTTTTCTTTTTTACCTTCTCTATACTTAAAATTACATACTCATGACTCGTTATTGCCATCATTTTGGTTGCTACCGCTGTTACTGCTGTCGTTGTTGTTACCTCTACCGCCCATGAATTGGTTAAGCATTGGATTGTTCATTAAGTTTGATAAATCCGGTCCATTTGGTCCTCCTAATCCCATGGATTGAGCCATTGAACGAATTGCGGGATTATTAAGGATGTTTTGCATAGCTTCAGGATTCGACATCATCTGTTGAGCAGCCTGCATTAATTGTGGATTATTCATCAACTCTGCAAACGATGGCATTCCTGCTCCTCCTGCTCCTCCTGCTCCTCCTGCTCCACCAAACATTGAACTGAAATCTGGTAAACCTCCGGCACCGGCTGTATTAGCATCTGTTTCAGTACTACTTCTATCGGCTGTAGAGGATGTAGAGATTGAGTTTTCCAAATCACTCTCTACTCTCTTTTTAGCAGTTTCGTAGCCTTTTCTCATTGATTCTGTTTGATTGTCACCTTCAACATCTAAACCTTTTTGATATGCCTCCATAGCAGCTCTTGGATTGCCAAGAGCATACTCAGCTAACCCTAATCTTGAGTACGCTTTGGAAAAAGATGGATTCAATTCAATGGCCTTTTTGGCATCTTCGATTGCTTGCTGATGTTTATGGTCTGACGAATATGCTGCAGCTCGGTTCGAAAGATAAACAACGTTGGTTGGGTCTAAGCCGATAGCTTCGGTGTACTTGGCAATAGCAGCTGAATAGTTCTTCAGCGCCATTAATCTGTTTCCTTCAACTTTCAACTCATCTGCTTTAGCCTTGGTTTCTTCATCAACAATCACGGGAGAAGCCTCTGCTTCGTCTTTGGAAAAGAGGTCCAGGGGAACTCCCTTCAATATCTCAGATAAGGATTTACCTCCAAATTTCTCCTTAATAACCTTAGCATCATCATCTTTGCCAACTTCAAATGCATCAGCTATACAATCAATGGCAACATCCATAGAATCAGCATAGTCTTGAGCAATAGATTTCTCGGAGACAGCTTGTTTCAAGAATCCAATCACGGATAATGCAACGTCCTTGTTTGAAATAGTAGATGACATGGTACGGGGTAAAGTAGTGAAGTAGTGAAGTAGTGAAGGGAAATTGGATGTCGACCTGGTGGGAAGAAAAAAAAAAACGTGCGTCGATGTGTTGCGTCGAAATTGGCGGGCGCAGAATGTGGAGGCGACTTTTATACGAAAAATTTCGTCTCACTAAATTTCAATTTTTTTTGTTTTTGTTTTTTTTCTACTGATTTTTTATCAACATACGAGAACCTTCTAACGAAGGGGGGTTGTGAGTGAGAAGTATGACAAAGAGGAGGCAATCAACTTCTATAGGGTCAACCATCAGAAAAGAGATTTTTTTTTTTTTTTGTTTGCTTACCAAAACGAAATATAAGGTAACACCTTTTTTATTTATTCTTTTCTTTTTTTTTTTCTTGTTTGCTTCTTTCAATTGTTATCATCATTAAGGATCATAAGTTGTGTTGCTTAACATTGTATAACACTTTTCTCAATTCTATATCGCGCAGTTTCAAACTCTTAATTTCTTGACTAACAAACCTCTTTAAAGCAAAACTCAAAAATTGTCCTCTAAATTTCATGAAACTAGATATCTCAGTTGCAATGATTTCATGCAGCCATTTCAAGTCTATATTCAATTTCATAATCTGTTTCACCAAGTCGGCTTTAGCAACTACTAATTTCTTATATTTTGTTTTTTTATTTGATGCAACAAAGCTGAATAACCCATCATTTTCTTCAATGTGTACGTTATTGCAATCGTTTGTTTCAGTGATGGAAAAGGTTGAATTGTTGGTTTGTGTTTTCACAAGCCCATTTTCTTCTCTCTCGTCTAGATGAAGGGGGTGAGCTCCTCCTCCTGCTCCTCCTCCTGCTCCTCCTGCTCCTCCTCCTCCTCCTCCTCCTCCTCCTCCTCCTCC